GGGAGCCGCAGGGCCTGGTGGAGGTAGGGCGGCGGGAAGGCGTGGCGGAAGGGGCAGAGCAGCCCGCGGCTGGAGGCGGGGTCAGGAGCCGCGTTAGGGCCGTTGGCGGGGGTGGGGGAGCGTTGTCCCCTCAGTCGGGCCCCGGCGGCGGGGCTGCCCTCCGGGACAGCCGCCCTAACGCAGCACGGCGCCGGTGCAGGGCACTGGGGAGGGTTAGGTTCTGGGCGGGGGCAGCGCTGTGAGAAAGAGGGCGCTGGGCGGTGCCTTTCCGTCGGGGTGGGTCTGCTGTCCCGTGGTAGCGCGACTGGGCCCTGCGCTGGGCTCTGTGGATCAAGGAGCTTTCAGGGCTGGCTCGCAGCCTGGGAGACTTTGTGGATGTTAGAAAGGGTTACACGCCTCATCGAAGAGAAGGAGAGGAGGGGAAGAAACACAAAAGGAAACCGCAAACCCCCCAGTCTGAGCTTGGAGAAGCTGAAGAGCTTGGGAGCCATCCCTGTCAGGTGCATCCTGGCTTCCTTCCTCCTGCTCATTTCGTCGGGCAAGCATACGGAGTCCTGCCCTCAGGACTCCCAGGCTGATAATGTAAATTGTAGGAAGTAACTTATTATTTATATGGCCTAGTTGTAGTTTGTAGTAGTCTTCTAGCATTTCTTAATAGTTTCTCATCCATAAAAAAACCTAGGCCTATATAGTGTATGGATTGAACACTTGACATCCTGCTGCCTTACTCAGAAAGAAGAGTTTTACTGGATTTGGGAGATTATTGGGGTTTTCTTGTCCCTAAGACTCTGCTAAAGTTCTCAGCCTGGATTTAACAAAAGTGGACGCTCTTACTGGGCTCCTTACACTTAGTATTTTTGTAATCTAGACAAATATGAGGAAGTAATTATTTTTCAGCTGCTGTAAATGAGCAAGTCATGATAATATCATGGCTGCTTTCAGATGCTAGTAGTTACTTTGGTAGAAATTGGAGTCTGTACCAGGTTGCAATGATGATGTCTGGGAATGCCTCTGACCTTTGTTATCAGTCAAAATGTTGGTTATATTGCAGTCATATATAGCAGGTTTGTATGCTCTTTTTAAAGAGAAGATGGGAAATATGCAACATTATTCTAAGATGAGCTAGAAAACTACATTGGTGTGTGTCCCTCTCCAAAGTTTAAACTCAGTCTATAGTTTAGTTATACTCTGACTTAATAAAGGCATGAGTCAAGATGTTGTCCAGTTCTTCCATTCATAGCCTGGCTAAGCCTGATCCACAGGGCTTCTGTTCCCATTGCTACTACTTTGCTGAATGATGGTGATGATTTTGCTTCTCTGTGGAAAAAATGAATAACAAACATTGATAAGGGTTAGTCCCTGAACTATTTTTCCTGCATTATGTAATATTGTTTCATCTAAAGATCATCTTCATAACCATTAATTCTCTCTATACTAGTCTTAAATAGATAAGGAAGCCCATAGCAGTGTGTGGGCTACGGACTTGCGGTGTTTGTTTCATGTGCTATGGCTTCATCCAGTCATGAAAAGACTGGATGTATTAGAGTGACATTGCACTGGATGAATAGAGAAATCCCCTGGCAAAGCTGACCTAAATTCTTGAAATGTAAATTTCTCCTTACCCATTTCTTTTTTTAATGTGGAGTTGAAAATTATTTAGACCTAAGCTCCTGAATGTCTTCCGTTGATGGCCATGGTGTGTGTGTTAAGCAGGGTAAAAGGAACAGTCTAACTGCGGTAGCATAATGATCAATATAAGCTAATTTATCATGCTCCATGATACATACATGTTTATGTACTCTTGTATCCATATTTTTAGTGAATTGCTTTTGAAAAATACCTCACTTTTAAATGCTTCAGATTACAGGGATTATATGAAGTTCTGAAGCCGTGATGAATGTTCTGGGTTTTTTGTGATTATCTTAGTAATGCTTACATGCTGATGGGTCCTGTATAAAAGCATACAAGTTGGGAATGCTTTCCATTAGATCAGTATCTAGCTTTTTCTTCTAAAAAATTGGTGTTGCTAAGAGTTCAATTAACAGTTTATGTCAAAAATAGATTTCTCCATAGAAAGAATGCACGTGTAACCCAACACTTCAGTCAATATTAATGACAGTCGGAAGAGAGCATAGCTTATTGTATGACAGTACTGGCAGGAAAAAGACCTGTTACTTTGTTGTTATCTGTAGTCCTTCATCAGCACCCTACCTTTCAATATTACCAGGCATTCTTAGAATTAAGAAAATATAAGATTGGACACATTGTTCAAAAGAAGTAGCACTGTCATGTACTGAATATGAAGGACAACAGAATATAGAATTGGGATGTTAATGTTACAAATTCTGACTTTTTCAAAGTGGTGTTGCAATTGTTTTGTGACGTGTTTTCGTTAGTAAATAAAAATGGAAGTCTCCTGACTACAGTATTAGTGATGTCATCCAGTGATGGTGAGATTTGCTTAAGATTTTAAAACTCTCTTTTTTTTTTTTTAAAGGAATGTTTTGATTAGCTTTTGACAGCTGAACTCCAAGTTTCCATATTTGTCCAACTTTTCTTTATAACCTGCAGACTCCACTTGCATTATTTTAAATTGGAACTGGTATTCTCACATACTTGCGTAAAATGAACAACAGTTGCTTCATTAAATGCATCAGCACAAAACCAAGATCAAATCACAAGAACTAGCATTTTGACAGTCTCTTCATTTTAAAGATAAACACACATTTCTCTCCCTATTTATTAACTTTGTCATTCTTAAATTCTAAAGAACAGTATCATAGTATCAATACAGAAATAATAGGAAATAATTTATTATTCCTGCAAGAGAATATTGAAGTTTCTGAAGATGTGTTTGTCTTCCATGTAGGATTACCTGTCACATATGCTGCATGTTGTACAGTGTTCAGCAATTACTGTTTTACAGTGTAGGTTCTGTTGAAGTCCTTAATGAAGAGGCAGTCCTGGAAGTAAAATGATGTTGACTGTTGTGTAAAATAAATCTAGAAGGAGCAGAGTGCTGTCACTGAATTACTACTGAGATACTTAGCTTATTCTTTTTTTAATAATGTCTAACAGCAAGTTGTTCCAGAATGTGGAAGGCTTTAAACACAAAAAAGTTATATTCTGGTCTAAGAAACTGATGATTGAGATTAGCAGAACTATCATGCCTTGAAACTGCAGTCCTATGCAATGTTTTATTGACCCTGCCTGGTGATCAGCTTGCTCCAAGTGATTGATTGTTCTTTTAATTAATAGTCTAGTTGGGTGTAATTGCATATGCTGTTCTATAAAATGAATAATCATTCTATTTTTTTTTAAGTGGTGTGGGTTTGTATTTTGTGAATAAAGTCCCAGCATATGTTTATAATATAAATATATTATTTATATATTATATAACAATAGCATTTATTCTTCTTTATTGTAAATGTCATCTTTATGTAGAATTTTAAAATTGAACAGTAGATGAAAGATATGAGAGGTTTACACACCTCTTCAAAGAGGTGTAATTTAATGAAAACCTGAATGTATGGGGAATTGAGTCATGAAGCTGGCTCCACATGACAACTTGTGACTAAACTGGGTGTTCATCTTGGTGTATCAATGATTAAAGCAGCATAAAATGTTTTTGTTAAACAGAAAATGCTATATTATAATTTAATACATGCTATAGAAAGCATGTCTTATTATTTACTTGAAATAATAAATTACCTTTTGTAATTATTTTCATTAAGGCAAAATGATATTTCAGAAACTTAATTTAATTTTAAATATAATTTACATTCACACACGAGTCTATATGTCGATTGTTGGGCATTACAAAGACCTGATGAAAATAATCGTGTCACTACAAAATAAATTTAATTTCTTTTTTATGAATTTTAGAAATCATCTGTACAGACAATTGGTGAAGAACAAATACAGAATCCTTACACAGAGCTCCTTGTGTTGAAAGGTCATCAAGATATAGTACGATTTCTAGTGCAAATAGATGATTGCAGGTATGAAGTTGCATTTCAAATTGTTTCATAGCATCCTTGGCAATACTTCAGAGAATATTTATGAAAAATGTAGTAATATTTTTAATCCTCTCTTTATTTTTGGTGGGGGAGGGCAGGGGAAGCCTGGAGTTAAAAAAAGCAAGGAACGAACACCCCCTGTTCTTGGTATGTTACTACATCTTGTGGCTTCTCTTGTAAGTTACACTTTCATGAGAAAATAATGAAGATGGAGTTAACGTTTCTTGCTGCAAATTCATTTGTTTGAAAAAAATACTTTTAGCTAATTTGGTTTTTGTTTTTCCGGCTGTTCCTGAGTTGAATGTTCCCTTCCGTATATGCGTACACACAGTTTTCCCCAGGACAATATGCAGTAGTCTCTGCTTGTTCTGAGTGTCTGAATGTGTTTTATTTTTTGAATTGAGGACTGCTGTTAATACACCTTTTGGTTTTACACAAGCATGTAATAGGCTCCTGCAGATACAGTGTAGCAGTTGAACATGACACTTTCAACAATATTGAATGTTGCTGTTCCTTTCCAATCTTTTGTTCACTTTCTTCTGAAACTCTAATGCTTAATTCACTTGAACTTTGATTAATGCAACTTCTCTCTGAACTTCTCAGATTTTGAAATTTTCCCCACTTTACTCAGAATGACTACTTAGTATAATTCAACCTATGCCTAATCTCTGCATTACGTATCTGCTCCAATTTGATCCTGTTAAACTTCCTGTATTTCTCCTTTGAATCCTGACAGTTCCTTTGTTTCTCTTCCATTATTTAGCTTTGTGGACTTTATTCCCTGACAATCTTTATCTATTCTGTTCTTAGCTGCTTCCAACTTCATTGTGAACTCTGAGGACAGTTATCTAAAAACTGGAAAACTGGTTATAAAGCCGAGATGAAATCACTACATTATTGTTGTCACTTTAGAAGTGTGACTGAGAGAATAATTTATGATAGTTCTATGCTATGACCTGGCTTCTGTCCTAGCTTTGTCTAAATTCAGTCCTTTGGTGGCTGCTGAGAAGAGTCTGTTTGTGTCTTCTATTATCCTTGCGTGTTCTCTAATTTAACTTAATCCTGTAAGAGGAAATATTTATCTGCCTTAAAAGTAAGGTTGTGAAGATTTTAATCAACAATAAGTGTAGTGACTCTTGGCTGATGTGGAGAATTAAATAGAAAACCTTTAGTAATAGGCAACAATCTCTATGTTAAGGAGCTGTAGTAATTTATATCTTTTATGGATTAGGCACAGAAGGGGATTTCTAATATATTTGTCAATACACTACACAAGTTAACATGGATAAGAGTTTGGTATACAACCTGTACAGCAGATGTTTTGTGAAGGAAGGTTCTCTCCTTCCCCATGCACACTGATCAGGCAGGTGGTCTCTTCCAAATCTGGAATGCCTGCAGAATCTTATTTTCTAATAATTCTGTAAATACATAACTTTTACACAGACACACACACAGACACACACACAGACACACACACAGACACACACACAGACACACACACAGACACACACACAGACACACACACAGACACACACACAGACACACACACAGACACACACACATATACACAAATTTCACAGAAGACTTTATGGAAAATTTTTAGCTTGTCAGTTTTCATTCTTAATGTAATATATATGTGTATCGGAAAAGTTACATGTGTTACCATAAAATTTATATTTCTCCATTATAATAATCCACCAGAAGAATCATATAAAAATAGAAGAATCTTGTGGGGTTTTCAGTCCTTTTTTTTTCCAGACAAGTTATGAAAATAACCTCTCCTCAAAGTACGTTTTTCCCAAAACATGTACTCAATAATTGTAATTGATCTTTATAGAAATACCAAAGTATTCTTAGATTGCATGCAGTCTGACGCAGAAATCTTTTAACATTTGAAGCTTCATTGTATAGTAGCAGGTAAATAATTGAAGCTAAACTAGTGATAATCAGTGTAAAACTAAAGCCTGGATGACCACATTGAAGATAGTTTATAAAATAGCATATGGATAAGGAATATGTTATATAGCTGGTTAATATTCTAGGAGTTTGAGGACTTTAATTGAGTTGCTTCAGTGGACAGCAGTTGTGAAGTTTTATTTATCAAGACTATGATAGTTTCTGGACTGTTAAACAGCTGATAGTATTTTTTCACTTGATTCTTTTCAATAAAATTAGTAATGTTACTCTGTTTCTGCAATGTTTTTATTTAGTTTTTGCAACTATTCTGTTGTGTGCTTTTTGTCAAGTACTGTAAGCCAAGTTTCACGCTTCAGGTCTTTAGATAATATCATCTTATTGAGAATTTTGCAGAAGGATTTTCTTGTGTTCTCAGCAGCCAATCTAAAACCAGTGAGTTGAAAATTTTCTCGATTGGTTTTTGAAGATACTAAACGAATCCTGTATAAATGTAGCAGAAGGCTGTTTTGTTTTTATCTTAATTTCTCTTGCACTTTTTGAACATGAAGTAAGGGTCATAGTGATTGGAAGATCATAAAAGAAGGCTAAGTCTCAGCAAGAATCTTCTAAAAAATGGACAGATGAAATTGTATGTAGTACTCTAGCATTTGATACATTAGAGTTCAATAATAATTCAGTAATAGCTTTTTTTGTTGCTCATTTGACTGTTCCTTGCTTCTTCAGGAAACAGACAAGGTTATAGATGATGGTGATTATGACTGGAAAAGAATCAAGTGACCCATGAATCTCCACCGTGGTGAACAGAATGTAACTGTAGGATAACTGACTCTATGCCTTTATATTTAAACAGAAATCCTAGTTAGAAGATGAGGAAGAAAATACACAAACCAACACTACTGAACTTCTGTGCTGATTAATTACACTCATGCCTTCTTTCAAACACCAGTTTTCTTCCCAGAATTTTGTTTAAGTGTAATATTACTCAAGAAAGGAATTGGGATTTAAAGAGTTTTGCTGAATTGTGAAAAATCTTACTATTTTAAGTTCTGGATGTTGTGACAGAACAAGGTAAAAAGGTAAAATAAAGCTAAAAGACAACAAAAGATAAGAAATTAATGTCATCAGGTGTGCATGGAAGATTGTTTTTTGCTCTAATCTTTTTAATGAAGGGGCTTGATTGGGTATGAAATAATGAAAGATATGAAGAAAATACAGCTTACACTTTTTTTTTTTTTACTATAATAGAATAAATCAGGAGGCTATGTGGAAGGAAGAGGGAGAAAAGAAACCCTGTGGCTTTGCCTGAAAACATTCTGTTAACAAGTTTCACAAGCAGTGTAATCACATAGTCTAAAAAATTTGAAAGTACTTGTATATAGTTCATGAAGCCATCTGCAGCTGTGAACAGAAAAAGATTCAGAAGTGATGTAACCTCTGTTCTTCATGACTTTCTTATACATAGTTCTTACATAACTGTTTTCTGCTTTTCCACTATGTTATGCTATATTGAAGTTTTCTCAGTTTAGGGTGGTTTTTTTTTTTTCATTTCAGGTTTGCATCTGCAGGAGATGATGGGATCATATTTCTGTGGAATGCTCAGGTTAGCTCTTTTTTTGGGTGTTAGCTTGTGTGCTCTGGAGAGGATAAAAGTTGGGAAGAGGAGTTAGAAATGTTTAGTAGCAAAAAAGCAGAATAAAAAACAGAGCTACTGTTTGAAAATGTAAAAGTGGAGGTAAGTCTGTCAAATCTTGGTTTACAAAGAGCTAGAAAAGTTAAAGTTGTGTGGACCCAGGAGAACAGTAAGTTTTAAGAGTTAGAATGTTATGGGAAGACAGTGATTTTAAAGAGATTTAAGATGAAATGATGATGTGAAAAGCAGAAGTGTGTATGAACTTGTGGCTTTAATTCTTTTAAAATGTTTGGTATTTGCTGTCAACACTGCCATGTTGACTAGTAACTCAACAAATGCATAGCAAGGGCCCAGTCTTGCCAAAATTTATATATGTACTTAAGTTCTAAGTACATTTCAGTGACTCTATTAGCAGTTATCTATTTGTAGTATAACTGATTAGACTAAGAGGAGAGCTAACTCAAAACTGTATTGGAAGCACCAAAGTCACTGGAAGTTATACGTTTCCTGAAGTTCAGAAACAAGGCATTAATTGCTTGCTGTGATAAAAATCTTCTTAAAACTTCTGAAAACCATACTAAGACATTAATTTTATTGCGGAAATAATGCTCTGTAAGTGTGATACTGACTGTTCTGCTCTTCTGCTAAGTCTCTGTATCACTGACAAAATTATAGAGAAGGCATGACAATTAGACCTGTGGTAAGGGAGGCTAGTATACAAGTTAGATTGTTTAATAGGAGATCTAAAAGGGAGATATACTGTACTGTCTAAACTATGAGTATCGAACATTTAAGGAAGAAAGATATCTCAGACTCAGCTTTTTTTTAGAAACCTGTAAAATTTGTCACATTTATGATGGTGTAAGCCTTTTGCAATTCTGTAATTTGGAAACAGAAACTGTTTTTGAATATTCAAGACCACATATGTGAGTGTATATACTCAACAGCTAAGAGGTTTGTGAATGTAAAACTCATAGATATACAGCTTAGGAACTGAGTTCTGTTTTCTACTTCTTCTGTAGGTTTTTTATTATGTTTTTGTTAAAGCAAATCTTTTGTAGTTTTAGTTTAAAAACTTAACCCACAAGTGTAAAGAAGTTTATTTATAACTACCCTGTATTTTAATTGCATGTTTGAAATGCCAGTATGCGTCTGCATGTTTGTTTGTAGGGTTTTGCCATTTAACTAAACAGAGCAGAAATAGCTGCAGTTATCTAAATCAGCAGCTTGGAGCTATAGATAATGTACATACTAAATAAAGCTGTCAGGAAACTGCCAGTACTGTGTTTGCTGTAAATACAGGTTAAGTTTTTCTAATCATTAAAATAAAATACTCTTTCAAGTGATGGTTTGTCAACAAGTCTGAATTACTGTAGTATTAGTTAAAAAGGGTGAATGTCCAATATCTGCATTAAAAAAGAGTGAGTTCTTATGGGCTTTTAGAGGGTTATTTACTCTTAGTCATTTTTATTATGTACTATTTCTTTATACTTAATATCTTGTTTAATTCTGTGTAAGATCTTGAACACTACTGAAGGTAATAGAAGTAAATCCATAAATTACTTCAGAAAGGAAGATTTTAGACTCTTGGAAGTTCTTGCTTTCAAAAGTCATTTGTTACTTATGTAAAAACTATCTGTAGTTTTCTGTGTTTTTATTTTTCAGACTGGAGAAAAACTTTTTGAACTTTATGGACACACTCACAAAATTACAGCTATTGCACCATTTTCTTCATCAGATGCTTCTGAAGAACAAACCCATTTGATTTTAACAGCATCAGCTGATAGAACAGTTATTGTATCCTTAGATCTGGAGAGGATTCAAATTTCTTTGGGCTTTTTGTTGGTTTTTACTTTTGAAGATAGCACTGACAGGCTGCAGGTTGGTTAAATTTATTGAGTGATAATATCCAGTAGGTATAATTGGATTACACTAGGATTTTACTCATTGTTGCTCGCACATAGATGCAGTCTGTGCCGCAAAAATTAATCCATAACAGACCCTTATTAATATGTCATTTTGGCCAAATATTGAAAAGACAATCAGTGTTTTGAGGACTGAGTCTCTGCGTACCTATTTCCCAATCTGTCATTTAGTTACAAACACAGCTGTTATAATATATAAAATCCTTTCCTTTCCTTAATGAATAAAGTCAGGTTTGGGACTGCACTAGTGGCAGACAGGTTCAGAAAGTGTCATGTTTCCATTCTACTGTAAAGGTAAGCTGAGGATACTCTAGGTGTTGTTTTGTTGTATACAAGAATCTATCACGTATGCTTCATGGGCCATATGGGCAGGTGTGTTAAAATGAATAACATTATCTGTTTTAAGAAGAGGTGCATAATGAGTGGCTGAGAAGTGGGCACAATTCTTTACTTGTTTTTGGAACTCATAATCCCTCAATTTTCTTCTTGAAATGATGTAAAACAAAGGTAATCTTATGGCTTAGTTTGTTACTGTGTTGGAAAAGGTAGCTACAGTCAAACTAGTTCTTGAAGGTTAATAGTAAAAAAAATCACTGAAAAATCAGGTTTTGCATTGTTGGTGGAAAAATGTGATATGTAATGAAATCTGTATTTCTTAGGAAAGTGACACCTTAATACTGTATTTCATAGTACCTACAGCTTTATCTACCTAAAGCTCATGATCATTTCACAGAGAAATTCCCTGTAGAACTTTTGCAGGGGACATATATCTGATTTTTGTTCTGCAGTGTTTGACAGTTCTTCAAAGACTGGATGTATGGTTGTCTGGAGGGAGTGATCTATGTGTTTGGAACCGAAAATTAGATCTCTTGTGTAAGACCAGTCATCTTACTGATGCAGGTAAAAATGTAAATGACTCATTATAGCTGTTAAAGTGGAAGTAAAATGGATCTGTATAATGACACAAAATCAACTTGGCAAATTCTCTTTAATTCTAATGATAACATTTAGGTATTAGAGCCACTCTTTTTTTTTTTTTTAAATGTCAGACTTAATAGTTTCAGAGTAAGACTGCTTTTAATCTCCTGTGCTGTGTGAATCTTAAAATATATCAAATCTCAGTAATTGTATATATTAGCTTGGACTTACAGCTAGACCTTGGATGCTGATTTATACATGTTTGCTCTATTATGGACCAGATCCTTTGGCTGTCTTTCTCTGTGAATGAACAGGATTTTTATTATTCCCAAGTAATGCTTTCTAGTAGTAAAGCAGTAAAGATTTCTTTTTATTGTTAAGAATCAGTACTTTTGATACAGAAAATGCAGATTTTGATAGAAATACAGTAAATGTAATCAGATCTCAATGTCAGTCATGCTTTTATCTGTTCATTAAAAAGAATTATTGCATATTATTGCTATACTTTACAAAGTACCTATGAAGCTGTGAATCGAATTCAAATTCGGGACCAATATTTTCCTTATTTTTGTCATAGAATGGTAGGCAAAACCTTCTATCCTTTGAGGATGGGTGGTGGGCAAAATATTCTGAATCTTTAATGTTAACTTCTTTTGGTTCAGTATGAAAAATCATGTCAAATAAGAGTTGGAATTGGTACTATAGTGCTTAGCACGAAGTGCTATTGAAACTTTTGTACAAGGGGTCAAGGGGATGTGCAGCATGGGCTCTGTCTTCCCTCCTGATCTCTTTCTTCCTTTGTGGGGAATTCTCCTTAGAGAATTTTCCTTTATTGGTCTGGCAGCACAGACTGGGGGAATTCTGTGCCAGATGAAGCAGGGTAACAGCAAGCTGGCCGTTTTATCTTGTGCCTTATTCTTCATCTGGCTCTGCACAATGTTTCAGTATCATGCATACTGTGATAGTATCAATATCTAATAACTTTAGTACTGCGTATGTTTAGAGTCTCAATGATTACCACAGTGTCTTTAATATTGTCCAGCATATGTTAGGACATAAACATCTTAACTGTATTTTAAATAAAAATTATTGAATCTCAGCTTTACCTCAAGTTTGACGTTCAGAATTCTGCTGAATTCAGGACCAAAACTCCTGACTCAATCTGAGGTAATTTGTTCACTTCCAATGACATTTAACTTTCACTTCAGGCAATATGCTTTTATTTTTATAATAATTTATAAGTGGAAGGGAGATTATGAAGAACTTTATTAATAAGGAATTAACAGTTTTCTGTATTTTATCCTTTTTTCCCTTATCTCCTGTATTTTTTCAAAGGTATCAGTGCTTTGGTTGAATTGCCTAGAAATTGTATTGCAGCAGCTGTTGGGAAAGAGCTAAGTGAGTATGTTGTATTTCTGTTAAATGTTCATGTTCCCCTATAACAGCTGTTTATCAGAGATATGTGTAAAGAGCATGCTGCCGGAATGGCATAGGAGAAGTAAATGGTATTAGTGTGTTTAGCAGCCTTTTTTCTTTTTCCCTTATTTGACAAAGAGGCAGACAATACAAATCTCATTCAGGAATTTTGTTGAGATCTTCATGATGGAAGTTTTCTGTATTTTCTGTAATTGTTATTACTGTTATTGCCACCTGCCCAGATATGATTGTGACAATCTACATTTGTCTTTCTGGAGAAGGTCTGGAACTCATTATTTGAGTTGTCAAATACTAGCTTCTCTAGAGCCTCCTTATCACAAGATCAGGAATATGAGATATTGTGGATCATGTTATACTGTCCAAAACTGTAATGAGACAATGTGAAGTTTCTATTGGTCACTTGGAGATAGGGTTTTCTGTGCACAAATTGTAAATCATTGTCCAGCTGTCAGTGGAGAGTCTTAAATAAGAGTGTTTTTATAAAATACTGAAATCTCAAAATATGGAAATGTCCTGGTTCAACTAGGATAGGGTGAAGTTTGCCCCAGCAGAGAGAGAGGGGGAAGGGGTCTCCAGCCGGTTTATTCATACCATGCTGACGTCAGGTCCAGGGACGGAGCCTTTTTTACTTTTGCTTTTGGTTTTGGGGGTTGTGACTCACGCGGCGGGCTTGTTCCCTGACCATTTTGCGGTATTTCTCTGTATATCTTTTGTCTTGTTCACTGTTATTGGTGTTTATTGTTGTTATCATTGCTACTGTTGTTGTTCAGATTGTCTATCACACTGTTGTATTAAATTTCTTATTATTTTAACCTGGGGTCTGTGCTTAACTTCCAGCCTGACCAGCTGAGGGTGGGGGAGGGGCAACAGCAATGTGCTCTCGGGTCCCGGTAGGGCTTAAACCAGCACAGGAAAAAAAATCCAGGACAAATAATAGAGCACTGAATCAGCAAAACAGCAGACTTTGCTCAATATGATTAAACATTTAGCTGAAAAATAGCAATCTGATATTCTAGTCAAAGAATCAGGAGCAAATTAAAAATAGTCTTCTTGTGTTTAGACATTGGTATACAATGTAAATTTCCATCTGAACTTCCCACAGTTTTTTGTAGTGCCCTTGAGATATAAAAGAAATTTCAAGTGGTTAATATAGTCTTAATTCCTGTTGATCTTGATTGCCTTACTAGAGAATATTCCATCCTTTCAAACAATAGTTTTCAATCAGATGAGCACTTAAGAAAGATCATGGAATCATAGAATGGTTTATCTAGTTCCAGCCCCCCTGCCATGGGCAGGGACATCTTGCACTAGATTGAGTTGCTCAAAGCCCCATCCAGCTTGGCCTTGAACACCTCCAAGGAGGGGGTATCCACAGCTTTTCTGGGCAGCCTGTTCCGGTGTCTCACCACCTTCACAGTGAAGAATTTCTTCCTTACATCTAATCTAAATCTACCCTCTTTCAGTTTAAAACTTCTACCTTTCATCCTATCACTACACTCCATGATAAAGAGTCCACTGCCATCTTCCCTGTAGGCACCCTTGAAGTACTGGAAGGCTGCTATAAGGTCTCCCTGAAGCCTTCTCTAGGCAAAACAGCCCCAGTTCTCTCATCTTGCCCTCATAGGAGAGGTGCTGCAGCCCTCTTGATCATCTTTGTGGCCCTCACCTGGACCTGCTCAATCAGGTCATCTCTTACACTGGGGGACCAAGAGCTGTATGTGGTACTGCAGGTGGGTTTCATGAGAGCTGAGTAGAGAGGGAGAATCCTCTCCCTTGACCTGCTGGTCACGCTTCTCTTGATGCAGCCCAAGATATGGCTGGCTTTCTGGGCTGCAAGTGCATATTGCTGGCTCATAGTTTTTCATCCCCAAGTCCTTCTCTGCAGGGCTGCTCTCAATCCACTCATCTCAATCCAGTGCTTATTTTTGCATGGGTTTGCCCTGATCCATGTGCAGGACATTGTACTTGGGCTTGCTGGACTTCATGAGGCTTGCCCAGGCCCACTGATCAAGCCTGTCCAGGTCCCTCTGGATGGCACATCCCTTCCCTCCAGCATGTTGACTGCACCACACAGCTTGGTGCCATTAGCAAGCTTGCTGAGGGTGCACTCGATCCCACTGTCTGTTATTGCCAACAAAGATGTTAAATAACACTGGTCCCAATACCGACCCCTGAGGAACACCACTTGTCACTGCTGTCCACTTGGGCATTGAGCCATTGACCACAACTCTTTGAGTGTGACCAGTCAGCCAGTTTCTTATCCGCTGAGTGGTCCATCCTCCAAATCCATTTCTCTTCAATTAGGAGAGAAGGATGTTGTGCAGGACAGTGTTAAAATCTTTGCACAAGTCCAGTTAGATGACATCAGTCACTCTTCCCTTTTCCACCAACGCTGTAACCGCGTTGTAGAAGACCACTAAATTTGTCAGATGTGATTTACCCTTAGTTGAAGCCATGTTGGCTGATGTTTCACTTTTGGTTTACTTACCTGTAAAGATGTCTAATACTGCTTTCTGCAACTTCTCATGTTGATTCTCTGAATTTCAGAGTTACTAGGCTGGGATGTTTTATCCTGTAGCTGCTGTAGTAAGAGGCCTTAATAATAACACTGAAGTAATTTATTCCCATTTTCTTTGGTGTTATGAGTAGTCATAAGTGGCTTTGCACATCTTATACTGTCTATTTATGTTTTAGTTTGTGTCTTTCTGAAAATGATGTGTTTTATTTAAGCATAGCTACATTTTCTTCTGGGTGGTAAAGCTCATTTAGACAATTTCTCTTTCTGTCCTTGAAGTCATTTTTAGGTTGATTGCTTCTAATGATGGGTCTGAAGGTTGGAATATCCTTGAAGTAAAACGCCTTGTTGACCATCAGGATAACATTTTATCATTAGTCAGTGTCAATGGTAAGAGTCATTTTATAATGTTACTAGTTTTCTTAGATACCAGTGGGATATTTCAAATATTGAGTTTTTATTTGGACCAAATTTTTAACTGGAGTGAAATTTCATAAATAGTAGGTGTACCTTCCTGTGTAGCTGCAACAGTAGTTAAATATGACAGTATAGTGACTTCCTTTATGGATTAATAGTGAAATGAAACCAGGCAGGTTATGATGTAGGAAAGGCACAAAAGAGGCCATGTCATGGATGGGAATGGTTCTCTGGATCTTCTTCCTGTTGGGAAAGTCTAAAATCCTATTTTTTTTTTTCTGATTCTTAAAATGGAACATACAATGCCATGTCCTTTGCAGCTGTAGTCCCAACATAACTGAAAGTTCTGGGTGTGCAGATGTGGGCCCGTATATAGATCCATTATTTAGAGGCTCTGGAAGATGGTGCAATCTCTGCTGCTCATTAGGGTAATGCTGAACTACTGCTTGAAATTCTGTCTACTCTACTACAGGTATCAACCCCTTCTACTTTCTTTTCCCCTGTGTTTTTTTATGGAGCACCCCCAAAGCCCAGGGCAAGTTATTCCTGGTGTGGTGGAGTGTGAATTTACCCTTGGGCTTATTTGTGTCAGCCTAGTTGGGCACAAAGGGGCTGTGGTACAGGGGTAGCAAGAAGCTGGAAAGAAGAAAACTTGGATTCTATGGTAGTTGTTTCTGGGGCTTCCTGTTGCCATTATTTTCTCCTTTTTTATTATGAAGGGGAAACAATATTTGGCTTAAAAAGACAATATGCTACCTCTGTTAAGTATTGTTGAAGCAGTTCCTTTCCATGTGTTATTAACAAATTCATGGGCTACTTCCGTCTTGTTGTTAACTCATCCATTTAATTTGTCATAAGTATTTCTATTTATGGCAAAGACATACTTAGCTATGTCTGAGGCCTGCTGACACACCTGCTTGTCCAAGGAAGGGTTTTGTATGTAGGCACCAAATGACCTTCAAATACTTGTACATACTTCTGGTGATATTCCTTGCCTTTGCTATAGTGTACTATGCACTGTGACTGGTGAATGTTCTCCTTCCTAGTTTTAATTTTACAAGAGAGCTCATCTCCTTTTGCTTATCTGAACTATGCTAGGTAATCAAATGAGTATTTACTCAAAGGGAGAGTTTTTTGTCTAATCAGTTATATACTGCACATTCTACAGAGCTTCACTTGAAAATGGGCTCTCAGCTTTCTAGGGTGACTTTGTGTAAAATGGAATTTTTTTTTTAATATCATGTGATTTCTGTGTGTGTTTTTTTCCCCTCTAGACTTGACTTTTGTGACAGGTTCTCATGTGGGTGAGTTAATAGTTTGGGATGCACTTGACTGGACAAAGCAGGCATCTGAGTGCAACTTCTGGGACTCCTCTGTCCATCCAGATGTACAGGCAGAAATAAAGTTATCCCAAAGCCAAAATGAAACTTCGATTCAACACTTGACATCTGATGAGGAGGTAAAAAGCTTTAAACAGAGTAGACTACTTTACATGAACTAGCATGACCCTACCATAGAAGGCCAAGTGTTTTGTGTTTTCAGTTTGCTTATTTTAATGAGAGGCTTCTTTAAAATGCACACAGCTATTTTTTATACAGTCAATTTTTTTTATATAAGAAAATTTTGGTCATTGAACTAACTGAATGTAATATGTTGATGGTATGGGAGCCAATATAGTGGACTGTCACAACAACATTTCTTTTTGACTGACAAAGATTTATTAGTTGTTTACAGTACCACTAGAGAAAAATAAATAGGAGGTGTGTGTTTTGATGGCATACATCTTTCATATTCCATGGTTCTCAAAATGCAGTTTCCACAATAATAAACTTCCCAAACCAATTATAGCTGAGGGTTCTGTGAAGTGAATTTAAAAATGGATGTAAGTTTGTGCTTAGTAGTAAATAAATATTGCTCCTTCTGTTCACATGGGCTATACTCAATTGTAAAGAGCACAAATAGGGGTACAAAATCCAGTCTACTGTAACATACTTTGGAGATAATTGAACTTGGTCAGAACACTCAGGCAGAACCCCGTTATTGTTCAGAAAACACTAAAAATCCTCAGGTTGTTCTTTACTTTTGTGAAATATTACCAACTGTTAATGACAAAACAGAAGGTATTTCTTAGTTGGGGTACTGTGGGATTCTGTTTTGGGGCCTGTTGGTCTGTTGCTGAGGAATGAGTATGAATCCACTTCCAGAAATCCATTTCTGAGATATGAGCTATAACAAATCTCTGGAAAAGCTTGAATGTAGGCTGAGGGCCAAGTAGTCACCCAGTGCATTTGTCTGTAAGAAGAGCATTTCTGAAACACTGGAGAGAAAAACATTGTGGGGATAGAGATGCAGTTGTCTCTAAAGGTAGGCTTTCCAGAAGTTTTGTTGTGAGTGCTTAGTTCTAGCATGAGTAAAAAGTCAATCCAGTTCAGGAGAAATTCTATAACTTGGCTTAACACTTTGATGTCCTGCTTGAAAGCTACACAAGATGTGTTTTAAGGGAGGGGAAAAGAATGTTGCAAAGTTCAGAAATAGTTAAAACATTGAATGTGAAATCTGAGGCTGCTGAGGACTTTCTTCCATTCATGGAACTGAACTAAAATAGTTACAGAATTTTATTTATGAGACTTTGAATGGTGAGAAGAAAAGGTGGTTCTAGTGTTATGTCCTGAAATACAAGGTGCTTTTAGGGCAGAGATGTCTGTATTGTAAAGTTCCTACTTAGAAAGTGGTGAAGAAATGTATTCCTATAATGAATTACCTACTATCTAGAAGCAGAACACCGTTCTTCATGTTAGGAAAAAAAAATAATTGGTGTTTTCTCTATTAGGAAGTTTGTCAGCAGGCTTGGTAGTTAGGTGATTGTAGAAGATGCACTTGTCTGGTTTGACACTGTGCTTGTAAGCAAAACATAATTCAGAATCAAATGAGATTGTAATAGTTTGACAATACTGGGAAACAGTGCTAAGGAGTGCTTCTGCTGTCCTCATAGGTGCATGTGTGTTTTTAACTTGCCTGTTAATAGGTGTACAATTTACACTTAATCTGTTACTTTCTTGAGGTTTGAGATGACCAAGGTTTTGCTGGGGCTTGTGTAGAGAGAAAAAAAAGTGTGATTTGTGAAGAGCATCTTTTGCAAAGCTATAAGACTATATGAAACTCATGAGCCTGTCTGAAGGTGGAAGACTCTAAGGGAGAAAAGGCTGAGATATAGAAGTGGAAGGCCATTGAATTTGAGCCTCCTCCAAAACTAGGAATATTAATAAAAATGGACTCAGTGTTTTTTCCTTGATTTGGTAGAGCACTATCAGAAATCTGCACTTAGTTTCAGAGCTTTTGGAGCTCCCACCTCAGATGTGCATGAGGAGAAAACAAAAACAAATGGAAACAAAACCTAACAAAAACTGGACAAGTTTTTTTTAACAGTATCAAAACACCATTGAATATAAATACAGGAAAGACACTGGGTTACCAGTTTTACAAAATGTTGACAAGTGTGTAGTGTGGACTGCTTATGAGACACTAATGTTTGGGCTGTGTAGATGGAAGCAGACCATTCAGGGGAAAGATCCAGCATATCATCGCCTAAACAAGGTATGTTCAAAACCCCAAATATGTACTGAATAGAAGCATTTTGCACTCCTCTGTTTGGTAACAAACTTTTATCTTGTGTACGTACACATGACTCTATGTTTGTTCCCTCTGAAATAATTACAAGTCATGAGAGGGTCCAGGTCCAATGATCTGTAAACTGTGACTTTTTAGGGCCATAATGGTTATAAGACAGAATCCCTGCATATTTCAGAAAGAGCATTGAATGCAAAATGCTTCCAGATCTTTGCAATATTGTGTAATAACTTTGTGAGAGAGGTCCTTTTCTACACTTAGAGTACAAATGCTTGAGCAAGAGTTCTTTGTGAAGCTTCAGTTAAATTTTTTAAAAAATGACAAGAATGCAGAAGAGCTTCTTGTTTTATCCAGAAAGACTGAATATACGAGTTTGTCAAAACACAGAATGTTATTTTAATGTAAGAACATAAATTTCGTTGCAGAAATATGTTGATTTGTTGGTATCCTTGATTTCTGTTTAGACTGTAAGGTACAAGATGAAAATACAGAAATGAAACAACTGCTTAGAGTATAGGAAGATATCTCATTTCCAGGAAAAAAAAAAATCTGTATTTTTTTTCTATAACTTGCTGATTCTGTATGCTTGGGATAAAGCAGTAACGCGAGAACAGAAACAAGCTAGATAATGTGGGCTAGATGATGTCATAGTACTGCTGGAAATCCATTAAATGCAGGGTGATCTTTCAGTATCTGTTTCTGTAAGTTGTTACATTAAATTTTCTTTCCAGTGTGTGTTTGCTGCCGTTGGGAAAGGCATATACGTATATAATCTTCAAATGAAGCGTGTGATTGCTTGCCAGAGAAGTGCTCATGACTCCTCTGTACTACACATTGAGAAACTTCCAAACAGGTACGAGTCATGGTACATTTTGTTAATGCAGTAAAGAAATGCAGAATTTGGAAGGGTGGCTAGAGACAGTCTGGAAAGCTACATCTGAATCCTGGGGCAGGGACTTGATCTTTAGTTTGATTTGCCTTTACTAGATAGAGCTTCTTGATCTGATTTGTCCTGGTTTGAGTGGGTGGCAGGGGTTTTTGGTAGTGGTGGCGGGGCTACAACGGTGATCCCCTGTGAGAAGCTTCTCAAAGCTCCCCTGGCTCCAAGTTGGACCTGCCTTTGCACGAAGGTTGAGCCAGTTAGCCCTGCCTCTGCAATATGACATTTAAGAAGAGGAGCCTTGGAGGAGGAATTGGAGTTGGGAGGAGATGCAAAGAGAACTTCTGTGCAAACACCGAGGTCAGTGGAAAAAAGAAGGAAGTGGGGGGAGGTGTGCTGGTGCAGCGCCCCTGTGCAACCCATGGTGAGATGGCAGGGCTACCACCCGTGGAGGTCTGTGGTGGAGCAGATGCCAACCTGTGGTCTGTGGGAGCCCCAACACTGGACAAGCTGACTGCACCTGAAGAAGGCCAGGACCCTGTGGGAAGAAGAGGCACTGCTATTGTAGTTCAGCACTGGGAGGATTGCAACATGCTGGGGTGTCCCACAGCAGAGCAGCTAGGGAAATGCTATGGCCTGTGGGGGAGGGACTCATGTCAGAGAAAGTTTGTGGAGAACTGTCTCTTGTGAGAGTAGGAGCACACTGGAGCAGAGGGGAGAATACCAGAAGTTTCCCACCTCTCCCCGAGGAGAAGTGGTAGGACTGACTGCACCCTCCAGCCCCTGTCCCCTGCCCTGCTGGGGGGGAAGTGTTAGAGGTATCAGAAGCAAAAGCTGAGCCCAGGTAAAAAGGAGAAGTGGGGAGAAGGCGTTTTCAAGATGTGGTAAGGCTTCTCACAGTCCTACTCTGTCTGTTAAGTGGTGGTGTTGTTAGTGTCTGAATTAAATTTTATGTTGTTTTTTTTTCTTCCCTTAACAAATGTGTCTTGTCTGTGACTATAATGGATGAGTCATCCCTCCCTGTCCTTATCTTGATTCCTAAGATTTTTGCTTTGCTTTCTCCTTCTCAGTGTTGGGAGAGGGGAAAAGGGGGAGTGAGTGTCTGCATGGTGCTCAGTTGCCCTCTGAACTCAAACCACTGAGCCTTCTGCTTTATTTTCTCCTCAGTGTTGTACAGGAAGTGGGGAGTGAGCAGCTGCATTGGTGCTTAGTTGCTCTCTGAGCTCAAACTGTGACAGAATTTTTGAAAATGCATCATGGTAATTCAATGTGAAAAAACTATGATCCAGTATGTTTGATGTACGGGCTCAGAGTGAAATATCTTGGCTCTCTTCAAAGTCAGACTTGATAAAGCACTTCTGTATACACTGTGAAAATTGCACTTTGTGGCATTTTACTTCTATAAAGCAAAGGCCTATGGCATATTTGGTAATTTTTTTAACTAAATATTCTGTAGCAGTTGAAATGTTTTAACAAAAAGAACTTCCAGCCTTTGTTCATTAGTGCTGAATTCCTAGCTGGAACTTGACAGTCAAGTTGGACAATTAGCTACATATATGTAACAGTTGTGTTGTTAGATCCCTTTAGACTCCTGTTCAATGGAGTAAAAGTCTGTCAGGAGATAATAATTGGGGCCTTGACCTTGTAAATGCACGTGCTGTTCTAAACAGGTAATGAAAAGGAGTATCTTTCCTTTTGTTGTTTTTCCGTAAGGAAAAAATAAGTTTTTGCTTAGTGAAAGTAAACTTACAGAAGCCAGTTAGTAGAACTGTGTTTGCAGAGTCTAGACTTGGTTTTTGTTTTACAGAGTGGTGTGCTTTTAAAATGGGATTGAAAACGTGTATTTTTTTAATATATTTTGCAAGTCCATTGTAGTTTGCCTACTACAGATGCATCTTGTTTTGTATGGAACATCTGGATGTCCTACTACGTTTGAGAATTCTAGCAAACTTGTGTAGCAAACTTGTGTAGAACCTGAGGCGCTTGCTGTCTCTTTTATAGAAACATCACAAGTTCACTTGTGCAGATAAGTATCCATGCTAGCATTTCTTATCAACTGTTTTTACAGGCAGCTGATCTCCTGCTCAGAAGATGGCAGTGTGCGCATTTGGGAGCTCCGAGAAAAGCAGCAGTTGCCAGCTGAGCCAGTTCCAACAGGTTTGCTAGTAGTGGGGGGTGAAAAGAACATTTAAAAAGAATAACGGGAAGCCCATTATTTACCATATAGGAACAGAGAGGCTTACAGCTTTGTAAGAAGAGATAATTTCTTGTGTTCAACCAACTGATAACAGGGGTGGGAGGGGAAACTGAAGAAGACAGGGGTGTGCATGCCCTTCAAGATCTGATATGGGAAGTTAGAATATCCAGCTGAAGTGGTTCTGTGCAATAAAGCTTATTTAGAGTGTACAGTTGTATCAATCAGCTGGTTTAACAAAAATTATGACCTCTACTGACAAACCTTGATTCACTTCTTATTGTACTGGATAGTGCTGGATCCTCTACCATGCGAGAGTAAATAGTACAGAACCTTGTGAAGAAAGCTAAAAAGAAGCTTGTGGATGACTAGCTGGCACAAAACTATGTTTTCCAAATCTCCTCCTAGAACTTGGAATGACAGTGGGACTACTTGGAGGCTGTATCCAACTTCACTTACATACTACCTCTGGGTGTCAAAGTCCTCAGGGCTAGTTGCTAATGTTTTAGGAAGTATTGCCTGTGTAGTGCTTGCTGTTCTTTGAGTAGGCCAGTAGCTTCCCTGGGTGCTGGTAGTTGTGGTCTTGGACAGGTGCTCTGGACAATATAATTAGCATTATGGACTGGGATCAGTAATGAGATGTTACTGTCTCTTGTAGGAATTTTTTTATTCGAGCTGTAAATAATTTTCTTGATGTATATTGTCTACCTGACTGTTCACCTGTTGATGGTAACTTTTGCAAATATCTTTTTGCTGCCTAGGTTGATTTAGAAACACTTTTTCAGTGTAGCTGGTGACAGCTGATCTACACAGTTCTGCTTCTTATTGTGACAAGTGGTATTTGGTTTCACTTTGGAAATTTATAATTTCTATGATTGAATACATTTGAAAGAAACCATATGCAATACTGAGATAGGTGGACTGCTGTTGATTTGCTCTATTTTTATACTAAGAAATCCCCTCAGTAGTTGTTCACCTTGCTTGCACCAGGGCCATGGTCTAGCACACTTCTTGTTTTGTGTGCTGATGGGGCTGAAGAAGGGGCCAGAAAGTCTGAACTGCATTGTGTACAGAACCCAACTTTCTTACTTGTGTCAGTATTATTATACAGTTCTTCTGGAGGCTGTGACACAGATATGATTTTCTTGCTATCTAAGTGGAACAGGTGGAGTAATATCTTTATGCTCGAGTTTGGCTGATAGTTTTAAATCTGAAGGAGAAAGTCATTGGGCAGTATAAAACCAGGCAATTCAGCATCAGAAACTTGCTTGTTAACTGTATGCCAGCAGTCTAATGCCTTAGTGCAGGACTCACAGGGAAAGACTGGCACCTCACTCATTATTGCACACGTAGTGGTTTAGGAGGACAGAGCAAAGGTAAATGTCACTGTCCTGCATCTACCTTTTGCTGTTCAGTTAGTTCATTTAGGCAGTCCTTGGATTTTTTGCTAAATCTTTATATTGTCTGATCCAGGTGAGTAATTCACTGTGTTAGCTAAATTATGTCTAGTAAGGACAACAGACAAAGTAGCTATGATACCTTCTCCCTCAAGGTGAATAATCCAGATACAGAAATGCTGCACAGTACAGAGCTGCCATCATGTTGCCATGCAGACTGTCCTGCTTTTAGATTTTAAGTGATTTATGTAGTTCTCTCTAGCTAGAGGAAATAAATTATATCTGTGATTTTTGCCAAAATAAAGGATATTTTTTCCAGGGTTTTTCAACATGTGGGGCTTTGGAAGGGCAAACAGGCAGGCAAGCCAAGCTGCTAAGAAGATGCAGGAAAATACACCTATGTTTTTCTTGGAGCTTGTTGGTGATTTGATTGGTCATTCATCAGCTGTGCAGGTAGGTCAGTTTTAGTAAGAACAAGAAAATGAATTTCACTTGCTAATGTAATTTTGGTGTTGTTACTTTAACAGCTGTAATTTTTGGCTGTTTATCTCTGGAGGCTGGGAACATGTTGATTGTGGGGTATATGTAGTGCAGTGTGAAAACAATAATCCATACTGACTTAAAGTTCTAATGAGAACTCAAACACTCACTGATGCCTGAGGATTGTGTGTGGAGATGTATATGTACATGCTACACATAATCTGGTGGGGTATTGGGTTTCCTTGTAGACTGCAAACAGTACAACTGAGAACTGTGTGTTTGTTTCATATCTCATCTTAAGTTTGCAATCTAAACGAGCTCACATAAAATGAAACTCATTCAGGAATTTCTTAGCCATCTGTGCTGTGAGCCTTAAGGAGGTCTTTAGTTTTACATCATGTACCATTCAGTGCTTCTGTCTGCCTAATAGAGCATTTTTTTGTTTTACATGGCATTTTCCGTCCATACCCTGTCATGTTTGACAAACCTATTGGGGTAACAAATTGCTTTCTTACAGTGGAGTTCTATAGATATTCTTGGCAGAAGCAGGGGCAAGGGCAGGTAGAGATGAGCAGTGTGGTTCTGGAGTAGTATACTCACAAGTATTCATGAGACTGACTGGATTTCAGAACCACTACTGCGAAAAGCTGAAAGCTTTTCACCAACAGCGAAGGTGAACCTTCCTGCTCCAGGGATTTCTGCAAGTCTTTCTGCCCCTCTCTACCATCTTTCTTTCTGAAAAACTGTTGAAAGAGTCCCTATTATCAGTACAGAAAGTTGCTATCTAAGAAAGAGGACATAATGTAATTCAGCAAGAGGCACATATTGGGTTTTTGCTACAACTCTGCAGAGCCAATGAGTAACTGAAATGATAGTAGATGTTATTTCCTGCAATGCTTTACGTAGGGAAAATTTAATTTTTAAACCCTGGTCAGATTGGAGCAGTTGAGGCTAGAAATGTTGAGTATCAATGAGATGTAATGATGAAAGATGTGGTCTTGGCCAGAGTATTTCTACTGGAACTGCATGGTTAGTAAGTGGCTGTTCTCAGAGGTGGTAGGGTGTAGCAGTCCTTGGCTTGAATGCTTCCCCTGGGCAGATCCCTTCAACAAGCTGAAGAATTGGGATGCTGCAAGCATGCCGTAGTGGCACACGTGGTGTGGTTCCACTGGCTGTTGTGTTGAACTGCAGTTAGTGGCTAATTTTAGGCAGCCTTGTAGAGGTCTCTCAAGTCAGGGATGACTATATGACTTGTCAGCTCCATTTCTCTTGCAAAATCCCTCCACTGCTGCTGTACTTTTCTCCTGAGTCACAGTTCTTGCTGGTTTGGCTTCCTCTGTGATCAGGCACATGCTTATGTCTGTCACAGTTGTTTACTCTTTGACCCTTCCTGGCCTGGAAAGTAGTCTGTGCTGGTGTGTGGGAAGGGAGTGGTGTACCCAAGTAAACAGAACAGTGGCTTCTGTTCCCAAGAAACCAGGCAATCGTAGTTCATGCAAGTCACTCACTCTTCTACTGCTGGCTTGCAACAAGTTTCTTCAATATTCATGTACCTTAGCTTTCCTATCTGTAAGGCTTTAATGCTTTTTCTAAATGAGATATTTCAATGCGAAGTGCTGTTCAGTATTTGGTTTTGTGTAGGGATTTTATAAAATATCAAACACATAGAAAGTAATTTTGTGTACTGATGTAGATTTCAGACACACATTTGTATTGTCCAGCTGTACACTGAACAGGTAAGTGAGCTGACAATCTCATGTGAGCATCATGGTAATAGTAATTGTTGCATTGCAGATGTTCCTGTACTTTGGTGAACTGGGACTGGCTACATGCTCTGCTGACCACCTCATCATTTTGTGGAAGGATGGTGAACGAGAATCTAGACTCCGCAGTTTAACACTGTTTCAAAAATTGGCGCAGAATGGTGATTTGCAGATCAGATTTTAAATTGCTCAAATGCATGCTACTTATGTATAAACTGGATGTGTGTTAAACATGAGTGTAAAGGAAAGTCTGAGCTACTGGGAATGTGACTACCAGTAAAGTTTACACTTAAATTCCAATATAATACATGACATTTTTAGTTGCTACTGTTCTTCTCAAAGGAGAATTTTTCATTTTGAAACTTACTTGGCTTACTCAACAAAAATGGCATTCTCCTGAAAGACTGAAGACAATGATGACTCATTAAATAGTTTCTAGTATTATTCCTAATATTTAAAAATATCATGGGTGGATGTAAAAATTATGATTTGTTAAGATCATTAGGTGGATCATGACTAAAGCAGCTGGGGACATTCCACAGTGTTATGTGCAGAAAGGCACAGAAAAAAATTTGAGATTTCCTGCTTTATGTAATTAATTTCTTGAAGCTAAACTTTAGTTACTGGCTCAGATTTGGGTTTTTTTTGTAGATGATACATAAAAGAAACAGTTCTCAAATAGAATTTTTGCATTTGAAGTTACTATCCTGCACCAAGGTTAAGAGCAAGGAGAAGAATGTGGCACGTTTCATTTTTGGCAAAGCAAGGTATATAGATATGTCTTGCTTGCAGTAGCTGCAGTTTTACTGTGGGTTAACCTAGACTACTGCGTTTATACAGCATCACTACCATGTCTAGCATGAAGTGTGATTGGTTTATCTTAGTCTTTCCATAGTGCATTCATTGAATTAATTTGTATCTAATAAAAAGCACTGGCCTTACCATGGATTTTCAGGATGTAAAATACTTTCTTAAGCAGTAGCAGCTGATGTATTCAATACTAGCACAACACTTCTGCCAGATAAATACTAAATTCTCAGCTGAAGCTTGAGTGCAGAGAAATCTGCACCAAATTTATAAGGATAAATAGTATTTTAGAGTTTAAAAATAAAAAGCCTCAAAGTACACAATGCTTTTTTCAAGTCTGAGATAGCAGCAGTAATCTGAAAGCTAAACAGGATTGAGGAAAAAAAACAAACAAACCAACCTAACCCCCCCCTCCAACCAAAGCAGTAAAAACACAAAAGAAAAAAAACAAAACAAGGTTAAACCTAGAACTGATACAGAGAAACTGGGACGGAGGACAAGATAGTGATAAATTGTCATTTGAACAAAGAGTAGGGAAGGGAGGAGTTTGGGAATTTAGTGATTGTAAAGCCATGTAGAAGAGGGTTCTGCTGTCCTTAGGTCTACTCAGAAGATCCAGTTTAGTAAGAAGATCCAACTGAGTAACTTTCAGTGCCATCTCTTTCCTTTGAATCCATGACAACTGTTTTCAGTACAGGAGACTACAGGGCTGTGATTCCAGACTTAAGATCCAGCAGCTGCAGTAAGTCCAATTAAAACAAAAGGCTAAGATGCTTCTGACAAGAGCAGAATCAAAAGGAGGAAGCTCCAGCTTCCTAGAAGAAACCAACAAGCCTTTTAGACTTCTTCCTCCAGCCCCTATGGGCGCTTGCCTTCCCCCCGCCACCCAAGAAGCCAAGATTTGCTTCTTGAGTCTCACCATAATCTTCCCTGGAAGGTGGGGCAGAGGGACAGTAAAATTTTGAGCTGTATTTTTTCCCCCACTTTAGTAAACTTGTACAACTAATCTTATTTGAGTGTAGAGCTCAAAGTGACATATTTCAAAACCATAAAACACATGAAGTTATTAAATTACCTTCCCCTTCCAATTCATTAAGGTTAGGTCAGTGTTAAATCTTCAGCTGCATTTTTTTTTTTTTTTTTTTTTGCTTAGGGTACCTATTCTCTAGGAAGCAACTACAAGTGATGATAACATGCTTTTGGGTGTATGGTATTAACCTTGGGGCAGAAAGGCATGTTAAACCTTTCTGCCTGCATTGTTTCAGCTTGTCTATCAGCAAGTGTTGCATTTTTGTCTACTGTAGTACAAGCTGGGGAGATCAAGTTTCTCTTTGACTCTTTTTTCCTTGTTTCAATTGAGAAATAGCTGTTTAGTTGTATATAAGGGCTGTGTGTTTACACATTGTTACTAAACTTTACAGACAAAGCTTATAAAACAGATTTTTCTTCGAGAGGCTACTGCTGTAATCAGGATCTCAGCTGTAACTAGAGAGAAGGAACATAACCTTTTTTATTATCTTTTTCCTATACTGTGAGAATGACTATTTCATTTTTGACACAGTTTTTAAGTGAATACCTCGTAAAGAAACAGATCTATTTAACTGAACACTTCTAGTCACAAAACTCATTGTGCATTTTACAGGGATGTAATTCAGCCTCAAATACTCCTACATGCATGTGTAAATATTTATATCTATCAGAAGTGCCATTGTTCTCAGTTACAATCCATTGGTAACGGATGTCCCAAGGGTCTCTTCCTTAGGAAGATGGTTGCTAAAAGATGTTTGAGTTGGAAGTATTACATTATTTATTTTACAAATGAACTTTGAACAAAACAGTGAACACAGTAAGGCTACACTAGCCCTCTCCTGTTAAATAAGAGTTTGGCACTTGCTGTTGGGCAGTGCAGTAAGCAGAATTAGGGTGATGAGATGAGAAACTTTACTTCTGCCTTGTGTCTTTTTAAATTTTTTTCCACCCCACCGTAATGCAGAATCCCATATGTTCACATAATGAAAGTAAATATCAGACCTACCCTTAATACTTGTACAACTCTGTGTCTGTTTTACTGTCAGTATTTGCACTGACAATAGCATGAAACAAGCAGCTGTTAGTCAGCTGGATAGGCTCGAGTCTAGGAGATCTGACACAACTGGCAGATGATGATTAATCTATGCTGATTTCTTTTGCTCTTAAAGAGGACATCTCCACACAAATTACTCTTTTTGCTTAGGCTCTGACTGGGGGAAGAAACAGAGGATCTTGCAACAAAATACACTGATTCCATATTAACGCTTAACTTGTGAACCAGAACTGAGGCTGAACTTTATTTCACCTTTCCACCATTCACATTTTCTTCTTTGTGACAGAAGTGTGACAAAAATAGTGAAATGTTTCACATGAATGTGGTCTTACAGGGTTGCTATATTTAACAAAGTAAGATGACAAAGCTTTGAATCTTGTGAAATTATTTTCTCTAATGCAAGCTGTAGTGAGTGTTCAGTCATCAGAATAGTAAAGGTACAACCACTAGTTCTAAATGAAGGAATGGTAAAAGCAGTTTACACTATAAAAATCTGAGGGTCAACTTATCTGAGTAAAAATCCATTGAAGAATGTTTCAATAGGTAATAAGAAAGAATGAATAAACATACTTCACCAGAAACACCATTCTTCAAATATACACAATGCAGCATTTTAATACACAGCAACCTGCTTTAGCTATGACAGAAGTAAGGTTCTATTACAAATCTAACAAAAATATAGCTTATATACATTTCTTTGCACATACATTTTATGGATGTTTCCTTTTGTTTCAGAACTTGGTACAAAAGATACAAAAAAGGTTGGCATGTTATGTAAGCTACCTGCAGTAAGCAACAATCACTGTCACTTTTCATCCACAGCAATCTAAACTGTTTGGGTTGTTTTTTTTTCCTTCATCAGATTCAATTCTTGATATAGCATAGGGGAGGTAAAGACCATGTTCAAGAGCTTTCCTTTTAATGAGTAGTGGACTGCTATTTCAACTGTAGCCACAGCTTTAACGCTCTTGCCTGCAGCCTGGAGTGCAGTATTAAAAATCAGCAGTTCTGCTAGTATTTATTAACTGAATAGTCTAAAATTTGAACTCGTGTTCATGTTCTGCATGTGATTAAAATGAGATGTACAAAAATATGCATTTGTGCTTTGGAAGCTTTAGCATAAATTTCGTATCTTAAAACTAATGAAAACTGTGTTTGATTTCTAACTTATTTACATCCTTTGAAGTACTTTTTACATCACAAAACAAACTAGCATTTTATTAGGAGGGAAAAAGCAGTACAAATTAATTATAATACTCTTTGCTATAAATTAGAACCTGGAAACTTTTTTAAAAGTGACAGGTTCATCGTAGAAGTAGCACAATATATAGACATCATAAAATTTAGATCAGCTTAATAAATTGATGACCATATGTACAAACACCGCTTTATAAAAAAGTATGTTGATCAAGTGCCTAAATGGTTTTTGTGTAAAATTTGCTGAAACATTCCATGGTAACATCTCTAAGATGGCAGAGGAATGTGTGGATGGCACCAGTTATACAGAACATGCTTCTTTTCCTCTATTATATGGCCATTTTTAAGGGACTTTACCTCCTACCAAGATTTTATGTGGAAAAGAAAGAAGGGAGAGTGGGTGGTGCTCTGAGAGATAGTTTCTGTAATAAGAAGGTCATTTTAAATGGTGGAGAGCTTGGTTTTTACTGTATTCAATTTATTGAGCTTTACTTGTTCTACTGTGTATGTTTCTCTTTAGAATTATGATTCAGAGAGCTGAAGAGTATCAGTAGAATTGGAGCAAATTTATACTAGGTAATTGGGAAGTTTTTATGCTTATTTTTCAGCCTATTCTTACTGTACTGGTGACTAGATTACCCCTCTGAGAAACAGCTGTGTGAAGTGTTAGTGAATACAGTTGTATCAATTACAGGATTTGACAAATGCATATTCAGTATTAGAAATCAATTTCAGACGTACATTTTCTGACACAAAATGTTATTTCCAAAGAGCACTTATTCATCTGTGGATTATGTAGCCTTTTTGAAAACATTTTTCCTGTAGGATTCAGAGCAGCTTGAAAGTGATGAATAAAATATTTCCTTCTTGCCACACAGTCTTAATTTCACTGGAAAGGAAACACCATCTCTCTTGTAGCCAAGTCAGTGATTCACAGTGAAACTGGTATATCAAGAGGTCTGTTTTTCTTGTGTTGGTGTCAGTTGTTTTCTGATGGGAGTCTGAGACTCTTGCACTTTAACTCATCCAGTGTTTTCCAGTGTTTGTAGTTATTAGCCAAGTGTTGCATCAGAACAGGCAGATGTGCAAATGCTAAATGAACAGGAGAAACAGTTGTACTATGTATACAGAATGGGCAGAATAAGTCATCTGAAATTGGCATTCTTCTGCTGGTTTTTGTTCCTTCAGCTGTAAGCTAATGCTAAAAGGGGAAAGATTTTCTTTCAGTCTGTTTGTCTTTCAAGAAAATCCCCTTCTTAAAGTATGATGACTTTATTAAATTACACTAGCACACAACCACTGATGTTGGTTTCTCAGAAGAAATACATTGTTAAAGGAAAGCAAAACCCTAGATTAAAAAAAAACTTAGTTTTAAGCCATTATTTCTTCCTTTTTTACATAGATTGTCTGGTAAGCGCTCAACTTTCATAAAGCTGGTGTTATGTGCAGTGAAACAGGCTTCAGCAGCATCATTGATTAGATCCTGTGCTGTACTGATCTACAGTTACTTATCTACAGGTAGTACCCTTGAAAAAAATGGGACTCATGGCCAGTTTGAGATTATTCGTTTTATTAGAAATACCTGCCTTAGAGCAAGGAAGAAAAAAGCAGAGGTACTTACCATCCCATGCATCGAACATATCTGTTATAAAATAATCAATGAAGGAAATTTGAGACTTGGGAATGCTGCAGGTGTTTCTATCAAATACTGGCATTACAACAGGCAGACCCTGTCTCTTCTCTTCATCAGTCTAAGAAAACAAAACTCCAGTTAGACCTTAGAGCTTTGTTGGCTTTCATGCTGAAGTAGCAAAGGCCAGGGGATCAGATGAATTTCAGTAGGAGAGCTGAGACAAACCTCAGGACCCCTGAGGTGAACTGCCTTAGTTTCATGTGCTTTATTTTGTCTGGAACAGGGTTGGAAATCAAAACCTCTTCCCTTTCACAGGTACTCTATTACTGTAGTGCTGTGATTGCTCTTGGCTCCAGTGAGACAGAACACTCTAATCTGGTCATTAGGGCACACCAGCTAAAAATGGAAAATGGGGTTGCAGAGTCCTTTTGCAGAGGGCAGGTCTGATCTTTTTTCCACATCTCTATTGGCTGTTTCAAACCATCTGTCTTTTAAGTAAAAGGGATGTTGTTGTCACTACTTTCTCTGCTTGTATTGGGTTATAAGATGAACAGAAGTATGGGTATTCCCTTTTATTCTGTGTCCACAACTGGAAGAGGGTTGGTTTTGTTGTGCTCAATATGGTGGAAGAGCCAATCACCTCAACAGTCTTAGAATTTAATTACAAAAAAACATGCTAAGTAGTATAGTCAGCACCTAATGCTGTAATTGGCAGCAGAACAGTGCCCAGAATTACCAGATGAGGTGAATGAAGAGCAGAACAGTTCTCAGCACCTCACGTTGCTGCCAGAAGGATAGTGCCAAAGATTGACAGTTTAAAGCTAGCTTGTGATACCTCGACTGCTAAGGAGATACAGCCTAAGTGATCCCTGTTCTTAGCTAGGAATTGATCAAATTTATTCTCTGTGATTAAAATGAAATTCAGACATGTCCCAGGCACTATTTTCTTTCAGTAATAACTATGACATGTATGATAGGAATTTGGATGGTAGGCATGCCCACTTTTCTGTCTCTCCAGTTCTGCACCATTAGTGGCAATTAAAAGCTTAAGAATCTATCAGTTGTTCAAATAAGAACTAGAAGAACATTTCACTTTCAGAAGGCTGGTGCATTTGTGTTAGAAAAAGAAAGAAGAAAGGAAGTTGAGCTTCTAGTTCTGTCCAGAGAGATCTCATGTGATAAGTATTTACACTGCCTACCTGCCTGCAGTACTGGCCTGATAAACCATCTGCCTACCATGGCAAAAGTTCAGATGTCCTGTTAGAAGAGAAAGGGCCAGTCCAGTGATTCAGTTGAGGGCTACATCAGGCATGGATCTTCATGCTCTCTTCAGGGAAGATACTGGGACTAAAAGCTAGAATGGTGATGGTCTTGAGTTTCAGATGATTAAATTGACTGGGGTTAATCAAATAATTTTGTTTTGGCCAGATGGAGCATAAAACCTCCTCTCCACCACTCTGTACTGCAGGCTTCATGGTAAGCAAACTAGCTAACTGACTGGAGTGAAATCTTCTGCAAGAAACTGAGAGACGAGTTCTGACTGAGGTCAAAAAGCATACGTCTGAACTCCATGGTGATGCCAGGCAGACCCTGTGTGGAACAACAGCAGACCAGCCAGTGTGCACTTTCTTACATAACATAATAGTCAAATTATAAAAGTACATGTACATACCTGGGCAAAATATTCCTCTGAAATCCTCCCTGCCCATTCGATACATAGCTCTAGAGGACGACATGGGTTTGCTACATCTGCACATTTAATCATCATGCGCTTGATCAGTGTCTGGTTATCTGGAAAATTTGTTATATTGGCTGTACATTCACAGTTGCTGCCTTCACTCTGCAAAAGAGAATTGGTTTCAGGGGCCAGTGGCCAGCATCCCTGCTAGCAGGAGCAAGGGCATTGTTATCAGCTGTACTGCACTTAGGTATCAGGCACCCAACCTGACACCTTCTAATTTCCTGCAGAGAGCCAGGAAAGTGATGTCCGAGAACTGCAGCCTTGCTAAGTAATGAATGATAAGCCTTACATATGATAGTTGTGGAAGTTCTTGGAATTAATATCAAAGTCTGTGAAATAAAGGAGTCACAGGCTCTATATCAGGTAGGGTGAGTTACCCTTCTCTGCATCCCAGCCTTGCCTTCTTGGAACAGGACCAGGATAGGGGACTGGTTCACCAAGTGCAAACTGATAAACCATCCTCACTGCTCAGTGTTTAAATTTGAGGATAGTGATGTTAAGGGGCTGCTTCATTTAGGGGAGTTTCTAGAATTCTGATTACATTCCTAGATGAAAAAAACTGAGGCAGGTACAGGAGGTGAACTGACTTGCACAACTGACTGTTACTTTTACAGGTAGAAAAGCAGGTCCATTCAATTCCAACCTGCTGCCTTTGTGCCAGATTTTGAACCCTCAGCCTGGAACACTTCTTGGTTTTAGTTACCAACTAGGATGAAATCTCAGATAATCTGTGAGATTAACGGTAGGAAAATGCAGGAGTGGCTGACTGACTGCAGAAAGTCTCTGCTTGCTAGGCAGTAAAATGCCAAACTGCTTATTGACTGCTCTGGAGCATGGGTGAAAGGGACAGAGTAGTTGTTACAAGTCGGCTGTGGCATTATCGTCTGGGTTTTGAACAGTTTAGAAGGGCACAGGTATATTATATTCCTTATTGAGTAATAAAAAGCCTCCACCTCAGCTCACCATGGCATTAACGCTATTCTCAAAATAATATATTTGTGTAATTATGGCCTCCCTTCACTGCTGAATTCAACTCTTGAGTCAAAAATTGAACATAAATACTTTTTACCACCATGGCTAAATTAATGTCTTTGTGGTTTATGGGGAGATATTTTGCAGTGACTCTTGCCAATTCAGGCATTAATCTTCTACCTTTATGTTTAGCAGTTAATTTTTTTCAGCATGGGCAGCCCAGCGAAGAGCTGCCAAATTAACCCTGTTCCTTAACTGCTGTTCAAGATCAAAAATAGAAAGGGCCGCTATTAACAATAAGGAACAGAACAACCTAATACTGGGGAAAAAAGCAAGTCTATAATACAAGTGGTTCTGTGTTCCACTTTTATTGCTCAACTCTTAAAATGGCCTCTGCTATAAATCAGTAAGATAAAGGAAAGTGAGTCAAAGAAAATGTTTTCAGTAAGTTAGAAAAGCTAACTGCAGTAGAGTGTATGGAGAGTGTTTAAAATCTTGTTAGGATGTGCTGGAACAAATGTATTCATGAGATAAAATGGGAGAATTCCCAGAAATGTGTTCAGAACTTGGAAACACTGTGGTTTCAGTAAGGTTTGTGAATCTAAATCCTACAGGCCAATGTGGGGATACCAGAAAACTACAGTTTTAAAAGTGTGGAGATGGAGGACACATTTCACAAAAATGCTTAAGATGTCAGAAGGAGGAATGAGAAGCCACATTTCCCAGTGACACCTCAGAGGGCATTATTATAAATTGGTGGAGCAAGCTACTTTCTGGGTCCACATGCAAGTGCCAAGAAACCTGAGAGTGGGTAATTCCATGCCACCCACTGATGTGAACCTTCCTTTCCTCTGGACTTAAGTTTAAATTGGGATCCCCACTGTCCTGGCTTAACCCATGCCAGGAGGGCAAAGCCATGAAACACAACACCAGGTGATGTACTGGGGGTGCAGTGGAGAAACAGCGATAAGGGCCCCCAGCAGTGCCCAAACCATGTCCCCCTGTGCTGTGGGACTTCTGACACTGAAGATTATCAGGCTAATACAGACCCAGATCAAGTGAGCCCTCCAGATATTGGAAGTGCTGAGCAGTACAGTGCAAAGTGTCCACAGAATCAGTGAAGTTCAGCAGCATTCGTGATTGCCAGATCAAACTGTTGGGAGAATGAAGCACAGCAGTCCCTAGAAGTAGGTCAGCTCGACTGACACAGTGCTGTCCTTCCTGGTTCAGCTAGGATAGGGTTAAGTTTACCCATCAGGGGGAAGGGATCTCCAGCCGGGTTATTCATACCATGCTGATGTCAGGTCCAGCCGCGGGAATGCGGGAAGCTTCCCTTTGTGGCTTTGGTGAGGGGGGAGCACGCAGCAGGCTGGCTGTGTTCACTGCAGTATTTCTCTGTATATCTTTTGTCCTGTTCACCATTATTGCTGTTTATTGTTGTTATCATTGCTACTGTTGTTGTTCAAATTGTTATTTATCACACTGTTGTATTAAATTTCTTCTTATTTTAAGCTGGGGTTTGTGCTCTACTTGTGTCCAAGGGTGGGGAAGGGACAACGGAATGTGGTCTTCGGTCCCGGCAGTGTGTAAAACCATCACAGCCTTTTTTTTTTTGGTGCACCAACACAGGGCAGAAGAGCATTAAAATAAGAATCAAAAAGGGACAGACCCTAACCACAGTGTATTAGAGCAATCTGTTAGGTGTAACTTTTCTGTTTGTATTAGTACTGTTTGGTAAGAAAATGTTTGCAATGCTGGCCCACTTGCTTGCTTGGTGGGGCTGGATTATTCCTTATATCCACTGTGTGTTCCCAGTGCTGATGTTTGTTGTTGGTGGAAAATGTATAAAGGGGATTATTTTGTCATACTGGCTACTGACTGCTTATAATGTGCTTATATTGCTGTGGAGGGGGGCAGGGTGGTACCTGTTTGCTGCCTGGGCTTCTGTTGGGGGTCTCACCCCCTCTATGGGTGAGCCAGGGGAAGAGATCCTCTTGGTTTTTGAGTTTCATTTATTCTTGGAGCCTGCAGGCCAGTGTGATTGTGGCACAATGATTTCTGAATGTCTGCCTGATTTTGGTTTTAGCTATGCGGCACTTCTCTAACAATAGCAGTGCCCGGAAACTGCCCCGAGGTCAGATAATAGTGAGTGGCAAGGGGTGTGGGAAAAGATGGGCAAAGGCCTGAGTCGGTGGGCACCTCCAGTGCTTTGGAATTTCACTCCTGAACAAATGCAGAGCCCTCATAAGCTGCTGGAGTGCTTAGAAAGGGTGTGTTACCAAACTGGCAAAACCCAAGAGACACAAATCGCTGCAATGTGTTGGGGACTTGGCCATGCATACCGTGTCCTCTTTAATACCACCCACTGCCCTCAGGGGGGAGAAAGGGCTGCAGGATCTGAGAGTGAATTTACTGGTGCAGCAGCTGGGCCAGGGGAACAGGCAGAGTCAGTTTCAGTCGCCTCCACCAGCACAGCAGCTGAGCCAGAGAGACAGCCAGTGCTGGTGTCAGTTGCCCTGATACAGAAAACAAAATATACCAGAAAGTCAGCTCGCAAAGTGGGGGATGGGGATGAGCCAGGTCCAGCACGGGAACAGGAGGAAGGGCCAGTGGGGATTGTCCAATCTCTATCCCCAACTGAGTTGTGAGATATGCGGAGAGATTTCGGCCGCCTGGGAGGTGAGCAGATTTGCACCTGGCTACTCTGATGCTGGGACAATGGAGCCAGTGCTTTTGAAATGGAGGGGAGAGAGGCCAAGAGCTGGGATCTTTGTCCAAGGATGCTGGCATTGATAGGGCAATAGGGAAACAGGCTCAACCCTCAGCCTTTGGAGGCGACTCCTGCACAGTGTAAGGGAGAGGCACCCCTACAAGGATGATATCCTATGTCAGCTAGGCAAATGGACCAACACTGAGAAATGCATCCAGAACCTCAGGGAACTGGCTGTGTTTGAGATGATCTATGGTGATCTGAATGATGAGCAGTCACCCATGGACCCATATGAGGCCCCTTGCACACACCTGATGTGGTGAAATTTCCTGAAGAGCGCACCAGAAGCACACTCGAAAGCACTGGCAATAGTGTCCTGGTGGACAGACACCCACACTCTAACAGTGGATGGAGTGGTTGGCAAGCTCCGGCAATATGAGGGAAATCTCCCTTCATCTCAACATCCCTGGGTCTCAGCTGTGGAGGAACTGTCTCAGAGGGTCCAGAAAATGGAAGAGGACATGTCCTACATTCCACCTGTACGGGCTGATGTCTCAGCCAGTAGAAGTAAACGTTTCCCCACCCAAGAGAAAGGCAGCAGAAGGCACACACCATGAGGCACCCTGTGGTTTTTCCTCCACAACCATGGAGAAAACATGAGGAGGTGGGATGGACAGCCCACTGCTGCCCTAGCTGCACGAGTAGAGCAGCTGAAAGGGAAAACCATCACAAAAGGGGAGTCCTCCAAGAAGAGCGCAGCTCCAGTGTCCAGTCAGAAATCCCCCAGGCAGAATAGAATGGTGACCGTTATGTCTGACTCTCTTGAAGGCACCAGAAAATCATTCTTGCAAGAAGTGAGTGATGATGAGCAGGATTAGAGGGGCCCTGCCTCCAGCCAGGTGGAGGAAAGGGATAATCGGATTTACTGGACAGTGTGGATCCGATGGCCTGGCACATCAGACCCGCAAGAATATAAGGCTTTGGTGGACACTGGCGCACAGTGCACCCTGATGCCATCGAGCTACAGTGGGGTTGAATCCATCTGCATCACCGGAGTGACAGGGGGATCCCAACAGCTGACCCTACTGGAAGCTGAAGTGAGCCTGACTGGGAAGGACTGGCATAAACACCCCATTGTGACTGGCCCAGATGCCCCGTGCATCCTGGGCATAGACTATCTCAGGAGAGGGCACTTCAAAGACCCAAAAGGGTACCGGTGGGCTTTTGGTGTTGCTGCCCTGGAGGAGGTTGAACAGTTGTCCACCTTACCCAGCCTCTCAGAGGATCCCTCAGTGGTGGGGCGGCTTAAGGTTGAGGAGCAGCGAGTGCTGATTGCTACCAGGACGGTGCACCGGCAGCAGTACCGCACCAACCGAGATTCCCTGGTCCCCATCCATCAGCTGATCCGTCAACTAGAAAGCCAGAAGGTGATCAGCAAAACTCACTCGCCCTTCAACAGCCCTATATGGCCAGTGAGAAAGCCTAATGGTGAATGGAGTCTAACTGTGGGCTACCGTGGCCTGAATGAAGTTACGCCAGCAATGAGTGCTGCAGTGCCGGACATGCTAGAGCTCCAGTATGAACTGGAGTCGAAGGCAGCCAAGTGGTACGCCACGATTGACATTGCTAACGCGTTCTACATTCTGACAGCGCCAGAGTGCAGGCCACAGTTTGTGTTCACTTGGAGAGGCATCCAGTACACCTGGAATCGATTGCCCCAGGGGTGGAACCACAGCTCCACCATTTGCCATGGACTGGTCCATACTGTACTGGAGAGAGGTGGGGCTCCAGAACACCTGCAGTACATTGATGACATCATTGTATGGGGGGACACAGCCTAGGAAGTCTTTGAGAAAGGGAAGAAGATAATTGAAATCCTCCTGAAGGCCAGCTTTGCCATTAAGCAAAAGAAAGTCAAGGGGCCTGGCAAGGGAAATTCAATTCCTAGAAATAAAATGGCAAGATGGGCGTCGCCACATCCCAATGGAGGTGATAAACAAGATCACAGCCATGGCCCCACCAACCTCTAAAAAGGAGACTCAGTCTTTCCTGGGCGCTGTGGCGTTCTGGAGGATGCACATCCCGAACTACAGCCTGACTGTGAGCCCTCTCTACCACGTAACCCGTAAGAAGAACGATTTTGAATGGGGCCCTGAGCAACAACAATCCTTTGAACAAATTAAGCAGGAGATTGCCCAAGCAGTAGCCCTTGGGCCAGTCCGGGAAGAGCAGGAGGTTAAGAACATGCTCTACACTGTGGCTGGGGAGAACGGCCCTACCTGGAGCCTCTGGCAGAGAGCACCTGGGGAAACCCGAGTCTGACCTCTGGGCTTTTGGAGATGGGGATACAAAGGCTCCGAAGCTAATTACACACCAACTGAGAAGGAGATACTGGCAGCGTACGAAGGAGTTCAGGCTGCCTCAGAAGTGGTCGGCACTGAAACACAGCTCCCCCCGGCACCCCGACTGCCGGTGCTGGGGTGGATGTTCAAAGGAAAGGCCTCCTCTACACATCATGCAACAGATGCCACGTGGAGTAAATGGGTTGCATTGATAACACAACGGGCTCGAATAGAGAACCCCAGCCGCCCAGGGATACTAGAGGTGATCACAAACTGGCCAGAGAGCAAAGATTCTGGGATGTCACCAGAACAGGAGGTGACACGTGCTAAGGAGGCTCCACCATATAACGAGCTGCCGGATGAGAATCAATATGCCCTGTTCACTGATGGGTCTTGTCACATTGTGGGAAAACACTGACGATGGAAGGCTGCTGTGTTGAGTCCCACATGACAGGTCACTGAAGCTGCTGAGGGACAGGGTGAGTCGAGCCAGTTTGCAGAGGTAAAAGCCATCCAGCTTGCTTTGGGTATTGCTGAGCGGGAAAAGTGGCCGAGGCTCTACCTCTACACTGACTCGTGGGGAGTGGCAAATACCCTGTGGAAATGGTTGCAGCAATGGAAGCAGAACAACTGGCAACGTAAGGGTAAAACTGTCTGGGCTGCTGAAGTATGGCAGGACATTGCAGCCCGTGTGGAAAACCTCGTTGTGAAGGTGCGCCATGTGGATGCCCATGTACCCAAGAGTCAGGCCACTGATGAACATCGACGCAACCAGCAGACAGACCAAGCTGCTAAGATTAGACTGGCTCAGGTGGACTTGGACTGGCAGTGCAAAGGTGAACTGTTCATAGCCCGGTGGGCCCATGAGACCTCGGGCCACCAAGGTAGGGATGCAACATACAGGTGGGCTCGAGATCGAGGGGTGGACCTCACCATTGACACCATTGCAGAGATCATCCACGGATGTGAGACGTGTGCTGCAATCAAACGCCAAGCGGGTGAAGCCCCAGCGAAATGGAGAGCGATGGCTGAAATACAGATATGGAGAGGCCTGGTAGATCTACTACATCACACTGCCACAGACCCACCACAGGAAGCGCCACGTGCTCACAATGGTGGAAGTAACCACTGGGTGGCTGGAAGCTTACCCAGCGCCCCACACCACCGCCCGGAACGCCATCCTGGGCCTTGAAACCCAAGTCCTGTGGCGGCACGGCACCCCAGAGAGAATTGAGTCAGACAACGGGACCCACTTCCTAAACAACCTCATAAATGCCTGGGCAGAAGAACACGGCATCGAGTGGGTCTGCTATATCCCCTACCACACACCAGCCTCTGGGAAGATCGAGCGCTACAATGGACTGTTAAAAACCACATTGAAAGCACTGGGAGGTGGGACCTTCAAAGACTGGGACATGCATCTAGCAAAGGCCACCTGGCTGGTCAACACAAGAGGATCTGCCAGTCGAGCTGGCCCGGCTCAGTCAAAACCTCCACGTGCTGTAGATGGGGATAAAGTCCCTGTGGTGCGCATGAGGAATACATTGGGAAAAATGGTTTGGTTTAGTCCTGCACCAGGCGAAGGTAAAGGCAAACCCATCCACGGGACTGCTTTTGCCCAAGGACCTGGGTGCACCTGGTGGGTGATGCAGGACAATGGAGAGGTCCGATGTGTACCACAGGGGGACTTCATTCTGGGCGAGAACATGCCATGAATTATGCTGTGCCTTTGTAAATTATTACTTTGTTATTGTTAACTGCTAAATGGCAGCTGGACATGACACAGATGGTATAGAATAAAGGGGTGGATTATGTCCTGGTTCAGCTAGGATAGGGTTAAGTTTCCCCAGCAGAGAGAGCAGGGGAAGGGATCTCCAGCCAGGTTATTCATACCATGCTGGTGTCAGGTCCAGTGTGGGAATGCGGGAACTTTTTCCTTTGTGGCTTTGGTGGCAGGAAAGCAGGCGTGAGCTGCCTGTGTCCATTGCAGTATTTCTCTGTATATCTCTTGTCTTATTTACTGTTATTGCTGTTTATTGTTGTTATCATTGCTACTGTTGTTGTTCAGATTGCTTATTACAGTGTTGTATTAAATTTAACCCGGGTTTGTGCCTCACTGCCAGCCTGACCGGCTGAGGGTAGGGGAGGGGCAATGGCAACGTGGTCTCCAGTCCCAGCAGGGCTTAAACCAGCACATGTCCCTAGTCATAAACCCCACTGGTCCTGACTGCTTTCTGCACCCATGACAGTCTACAATGCAAAACGTCCAGTTATGGAAAACTGACAAGCTGCTTTTATTTATTTTTAGTATCACTGACCTTCAATTTGGTCTTACTTTTTTTCAGTGTTTCTAACAAAGATTTTTTTTTCACTAAGCTGTGTTAACATGGTCTTTGCTTAGGTGAGTAACACTGCCCTGGCGAATCTCAAGAGGCAACAAGAGAAGGTAAAGAGGGGCCTGGGCTGAGAAACTCTGAGACATCTTATGAAATACCCTGTCTGGTGATGGAGCATTAGGGCATATAACTGGTATGAATAAAGGCTCGGACATCTCTGGGTGCAATCAGAAGTGGGGAAAGGGGTGCAGAGGTCTCAGAAATCAATGGGGTTACTCCTCATGGCTTGAAAGCTCCAGATTACATAGACACAAAACCATCAGGGCAGGCTCCTCAGTTAGAACCTCAGGCTTAGGCAAATCCCACTGTTTGGAGGCAGGACCATAGGCACAAATGCCAACCTGGCTCCACACACAGAATTTTGCATGTACAAAAGCACCCACATGCATGTTTTCTGAACACAAGATGGCTTTGAAGGCAAGGCTTATAAAACGAAGTGTTTAAATGAGCTAAGGTCAGAGCCAAACATAGAAAACAAGAAAATAAAAGCATTTTTTCACTCTTTGAGATGTGAGTTCACAAATCCAATTGTGTCTTTTGATCACAGTGCAAATTACTATAATGTGAATGAAATTGTCTTGGGAGAACTTCACTGAAATGCCTGAAGGTGTAAAGTGCTGCAAGTACTTACATGTGAGCTGGTCTCCTCAGATGCCATTGGCTTGTTGATGCTGTTCACAAATTTGTTGACATGCTCAAAGTGCTTTGTCATCTCTGTTGCCAAAACCATATCAATAATGGCCTGGCGCAATGTCCGGTAGTGATTTCTAGGAAAGAAGAATAGTTCCTGCTCACAACCTGACAGACAGAGCTTCGTCCTTTCCTCATCCCTGCCCAAACAGTGATGCAAAACACTGCTTGGGGGCTCATCCAAATGAGCTGGCACCTTCAAGAGTTCTGTATGGTCTAGGGTTGGAGAAATGGACTAGATCATACCTTTCCAGGTTCCTCCAGCTCTGAATTCCTGTATTGCCTTTTTTCTCTTACTTTTACCTGATGAAAACCAATCCCCTGAAGTCAATAAAAATTTACAATTCAATTTCAATAATGCTATAATGCTGACAACTTCTCCAGGAACGACACAAACACATTTCCATCTCATTGTATGTTAGCTTAGAACTTAACTCTCAAGTTTTTCACAAACCAAGTGTGTTATGGGGGGTACACTAATTCATTACCTTTTTGGGGTCAGGCCCTTTCCCTTTCAGATCCCTTTCTCTCCCACCCTGTTCTTGCAAAAGTTAGACTGATGCAGTGTGAACTGCCAGGCTATGTGCATGTCCAGTAGCAGGGTGCCTCCAACTCTCCTAGAGCTTTAGCTCCTCCTCCACCACCCCTTTCTGTCCCATGTGAATGCAGCAGTGCCAGCAACATGGGGCCATGTGCAAACACAGCTTGCTGCATCTAGCTGCTTGAGTGGAAACACATGGCCCCAAAAAGTAATTTCCAGGCTCCTACAATGAAAAGGCAGTAGATCAAGGTGCAGCCTTGAGGCTGCCAACTGGATCCTGCCAATGTAATCCATAAAAGATTAATCAAACATCTCTATAAGCTTCAAAAAACTACCAAAAAAACATTAAAACCTTTTTAAAAATCATGTCTAAATGGGATTCTGAAATGGATTAAATATTAATGTCTCTATTTAAACAATATTTTCTGGTTTAGAAGGTAAGCTTTCAATATGCCTCAAACTAAAATTGCCAAACAATCAGTCCACATATGCACATTTCCCTTCTCTAGCAGACTCACCTATCAATATTCTTGAAAATGTTGCATTTGCTGTCTTTAGTTGTAAGCTGAAATGCCAGTGCTGTGTGATGGCTCTCTAATACAGCTGTATCATTGTAAAGGACAGCTAATTCGCTGCCTGCATTGCACAAGAAAGAGTTGGTCCGTCCAGGGTGGTCTACATCATGAATAGTGGCAGCTATTAATGCAGCCACCTCATCTAAATGGTCAAGACTTCCCTAGAGGAAGAGACAGAAATGACAGTGTTGCACAAAAATTACAGTAAATAATTTCTGATCATTTCCAGGTACCCACAAATACACAGGTACCCACAAATACACAAGTGTACACTTGAGTGCAGGGGATACTACCTCCTTGCAATCATTTTCCACTCACTGCACCTGCAGGTTACCTACTTCAAAACTCCCCCTCCCACCTGTCTCAAATCCTCTTTCCTTAATAAAGCTTTTTACTGTGCTGTCACCCAAGCAGTATCTTTGCATCAAATCCTCTAATGGTGGATGGATCCTCTAGTGTGTGCTTGCCTGAATGACTTGGTACTGACTCTGCTCCTACATAGCTTACACAGCTTGTTTTAGAATAGGATAGGACAGGATATTACAGTTGGAAGGATCTAAAAGGATCATTTAGTCCAACTGCCTGACCATTTCAGGGCTGACCAGATGTTAAAGGATATTATTAAGGACATTTTCCAAATGCCTCGTAAACATGGACAAGCTTGGGGCATTGACCACCTCTCTAGGATGCCTGTTCCAGTGTTTGACCACCCTATCAGTAAAGACATATGTCCTAATGTCCAGTCTAAACCTCCCCTGGCGCAGCTCTGAACCCTTCCCCCACTTCCAGTCACTGGATTCTGGAGATCAGCACCTCCTTCTCCAAAGCTTTTGCAAGCTTTATTAAGAGATGTTACTAACAGTCAGTTACCAAGAGACAGAGAAGAGCCAGGTTTCTCCCCCACTATTATTGCTTCTTAGAAATATAAATTCCTTAGTCATATAAACAGACTTCAGAGAAACTGTGGGGGCCTGTGGACATTACTGGAAGACTTCAAGGGCAGAGAGACTTTATGAAGCCAGTACCACTATTTAAGTAAACATCTGACTTTTAAATGACACATAACATGGCAAACACACCAAAATCCTAGCCCAAAGCACACCTAGGTGATAGTTATACCTTAACTCTCTCCTTCCCAAGAAAGAAGGCAGTAGCATGCAAGACATCTGCTGCATGCGTGGAGTTGTGGTACGAGTTGGAGGAGTGGTAGTTGGCTTCAATCACCTGCAGCCACGCTCGCAGTGTTGCTTCTGAACAGTTTAAAAATTCAGAGACAGCAAACCGGGCAAAAATTTTTAAGCCCAAATATACTAATGGCCTGAAAAACAACAGAAGAGAAAAGTACCACTGTAAAACAGAAACTTCTGGGATTCTAAAAAGTGATAGTTTTGACAAAGAAACCTTCAAAATAAAAGGGGGTGAGGGGGAATATTAAACATTTAAAAATTGCAACTTCTCAAAAGCCTGGCCAATGTTCCAAATAATTACATCTACCATCCTTTCAGACATTATTTAGTATGTTTTGTAGAAATGGTGCAGTTCCACTAGAGTTTCACCAATTCTTGTGACTTCAGAAAAAATTCTTAAAAGCTCAGGTCTTTTGTGGGTTTTGAATCTGCCAATCAATCAAAATACGTTTTTTTTCCTGAGGAGAAAAAGCAGATTTTGAACAAGACATGGGCACATCCCAAAGACTAAAAAGCCCCAAGACAAAAAAAGGTCAAATGTTTACTGTTTCAAATAATCCTGTGACTTCACAGGGTCCAGATTTCTACTTCCTGACTATTAGAAGTTGTCAATATGCCAAATATATTGATGCTTCTCAGAACAGCTGTTAGCATCAGGTTATTTCATGTTAACTCTTCTAGCTTTAGGAGGACTGATCACTTTCTAGAGTTAGGGCAGGAGTTTGCTGTCAGTAGCCCCCAACCCCACCTTGAATTCCACATGGGTAAGTGTGTGTGTGTGTCTGTGTGCTTATGTGCATGCGTGCGTGGGCACGGGTGTCTGTTTAGGGAGTTAATGTCTAAAACTGAACCTCTGTACTCTCGAGCAGAAGCCTGCCACTTTCTCAATTCAAGTGGTATGGGCTGGACTAAATAGTCTAAATAGCTGGAGAGGAAATTTGAGGTCTGGTGAATGTAATGCTGCGGAGGACAGCAATGAGTCTCTGTGCGAAATAGGAAATAGAGTAAAATCTCTGATCTACTCCAGGTTGTCATTTACTCTGTGTTGCCTGTGACAGAGCCCTATCTATCAGTCATATTTTTCAATTATGCAAGATGATATACAAGGCTCCTAAGCTGAGAAAGGCATAACCAAAAGCCAACATCTGCAAGTGAAAACCAGGCAAACGCAAATTTTGAAAGTGGCCACTTTCTTCAAACACAGTACAAAAGACCTGGTAGTCTCTTCAATTCTTTGCATATCTTGGAGTGAAAAATCACTTTTCTCTGTGGATGATACATTTATTTTTGTGGTCTCCATGGCCTCAAAACAACTGGCATTTTCTTTCCTTGTAAGTTTAATAAAATCTCAGGCTCTTGATCCTATCACTGGTTTATCCTCCATCCCAGTTATGGCCCTATAATCAAAAACCACAGTTGCCTCAGAACTTACTAAATCATAGGGTGATTTAGGTGAGGGAGGGGAGAGGCTTGCTTTTTCCAGCATGACCTTTTGCACATCAGCAAGAAAAAGGGGCCTCTCTGGGACATCCGTCATGTAACACCACCAGACTGTGCCAGTATCACCTGGACAGAGTGTACTGGAGTCAAGCAAGGTAAAAGTTGAACAGGAAACAATCTTGGAGGACTGCAGACACTGTCAGGAAAGACAACAGTCTGCACAGGGCTCTCCATGGCCATTGCATGTATCTTGACCACAGTGCACGCCTGGCTTGTTAAATGGGACAAGTGGTACCAACACACACATGAAAAGAAACACAGCTCTCACAGATTTGCTGTGTCTTGCTTCAGTTTTTCCAGAGCAAAACACCTTCTGCTACAGCTCGCCAACAGCCTTCTTGCAGGCACCCAGGGAAAAAAGTCCAGTACCTTTTATTTGTAACAGCCTCCAACTCAAAAATATTGAAGTCCCAGCTTTCCTCATTTTCCAGGAGCTGTGCAATACAGGGTGGAACATCATTGATGGTGTTTGGCACTGAAAGGTGACTATGGCTCAGGTTCATATCTGTTGAAATGGAATTTAAGAATTGCAGCATTTCCCCCTCATGCAGAATACAATTTAGAAAACAACTATTTTCCTTACATGAAAAAGTCTGTAAAAGCTGATAATATATATGGTTTATATTATGACAGATGATTTGGACATAAGCCAAAAAGATCAGTGAACATTTCTTTGAGTGACAATCTAGTTTTTCCTAATCTGATTGTCTATATTTTGAAATCAATTATTTCATTATTTGAACATGCTTTAACTCCAAAATGGAGGCAGTCTAGCATTTGTTGTGCAGCCACTTAGACAAGCATTTCCAGACATACATCCCAATGCAAATTATCTTGGAGCTCTATGTCAGTAGCATCTACAAAACAAGTCACATGTGCAAAGAGAAGTTCAAAATGGTGGCTTACTCTTAGAAAACACATACTCGTTTCCTGACAATCTTCTCAAGCCATCCTGAAAAAAGCAAGTTTATCATAAGATTTAGGCAGAGTAACCATTCAATATTAATTGCAAAAATACTACATGCACTTTCGCTTTAGGTACTATTCCTGGGTACTAAAAGAACTGCTTCTGTTGTAGCACTATAATCACCATCTTTGTTTTAAGGTCTTTCAAAACAGACATAAAAGGATCCAAGGAACACTAGTATGGCATCTCCAGAATGGATATTATTAACCACATGATGTATTGCCCCCCTTGACACTTTCATTGGCACCTGCAGGATTTAATCATTCAAATTAACTACTATTATTTTTTTTTCATCTTCTTTATATTATTTTGACAAGGATTAGCTCAGTTTACATTAAAAAATTAGGTAATTATGTCCTGGTTCAGCTAGGATAGGGTTAGGTTTCCCCAGCAGAGAGAGAGGGGGAAGGGATCTCCAGCCGGGTTATTCATACCATGCTGATGTCAGGTCCAGGGACGGAAACTTTTTTTTTCCCTTTCCTTTGGTGGCTTTTTGGTGGCGGGAGCACAGAGTGGGTTTGTTCCCTGATGATTTGCGGTATTTCTTTGTATATCATTTGTCTTGCTTACTGTTATTGCTGTTTATTGTTGTTATCACTGCCACTGTTGTTGTTCAGATTGTTTATCACACTGTTGTATTAAATTTCTCCTTATTTTAACCTGGGGTTTGTGCCTCACTGCCAGCCTGACCGGCTGAGGGTGGGGGAGGGGCAATGACAACAGCAGCATGCTCTCCGGTCCCGGCAGGGCTTAAACCACTACACTGCTATTACAGGACCAAAGTCAGAACCTGATTAAAGTAACGTTGCTCTTACACTGGACCAGCTGTAGAGCAATCCCGCTAATCCCATCTAATTTTCTAAAGTTTCTAAAAAACACCTCCTTGAGACAAATCATAATGGGTGATACAGGTTCTAGTGGCAACCATGTTCATTTATATATGAGAATGAATGCACCCAGTGGACTACATCTTGGTGTCTACTGTTGGTAGAGAAGCCAAAACACTTAAGTGAAATGGTGATGAATTACGAGCTCAGTTTTCATTGCTTGTGAACAGCAGAGCACTGAATGTGATGTAGGACACTGGCAGTAGTAATTTCATCTTTACTAATTTTACTCACAGTCATCAGACCTCCAACAAGATCGCTTGTATGAGGATCTTCATCTTTGGTTCCTAGCTGAGGGGAGTAAAGTTCTGTTGTCCGCAGGATTTCCAGAACTCTGTCCAAGGCCTCTGCTACTGTGATGGGGCTGTTTTCCTGGGCAGCATTAATTATGTTAATAACCTGAAAGCAGATTAAGGAGGCAGGCAAGGAAGAATGAATGGCACTTTTGCCTTTTCCTATTACAAAAACTTTATTCTTAGCTTGATTACGCTGCTTCCTATTTAGCAAAAATGTAATTTCCCCACAACCCTTGAAGCACACTTCTGAAAATGTAAATTTGTGCTCAGATTCCCTGGTGTCCATCTGCTGTTTGTAACTGGCAAACTCCTTGGAAGTGAAAGCAGAAGTGTGTGAAATATCTACAATAGTTGCAGGTGGGTAGATGAACAGCTGGCCATGTCCCAGTCCTTCAGCATGGCCAGGGCTGCTCAGAAGCAATCATTCAGTCCCTAGAGGAAAAAAAAACAGACAAACGAACTCCTGGATGTGACTCAGATATTCTGATATTGCCTTAGTTTTCTCAATGTGAAAACAAAGGGCAGAGGGTGTAAACAGCTGGGCTGTGGTTGAGGATGAAGAAGATGGTTCTTTGCATCCCACCTTGTGTCTCAGCTGCTATCTGGGAACTCAGCAATGACAGAGCAGCACCAAGGATATCTCCTGGCACTGCCAGGACTGAGAGGGAGAAAGCCCTAGTGCTGTCTTCTCAAGCAACCAGAAGATGCAGCAGGGGCACTAAAGGCCTCCCTGTAGGTAAACTTGGGGAGAAGGAAAAGGAAAGGACTCAGCTGCTCTAACAGGCATAGCGATGCTGGGAATTAAGAACTTGATGATAGAAAAAGAAGATGTGGAGAGAAGAAAGAATGGTTTGAGGGTGGGAGATGGCAGGCACCCTGGTTTGTGGGACAAGTGACTGTGTAGTTGGCTTGTGACAACAGAGTTTGTATAACATGGACAGTGAAACAAAGACTGCAGGAAACCAGGGGACAGAATATGCTGCAGGTTCTCCCTCCTCTGCATGCTACCTAATAAAAGTCAATGGTAAAAGCAAAGGTGAGACTGGAACCACATGTACTTCTACACATGAACAGCTCAACAAAGCAGAACACCCTTCCTGCCACAAACAGTGCATCTAGCAAGGATGCCCCTTCCCCCTTTTTAACATTCCTTCTCTTGACTAGGATTTGTAATGAGATGATGAGGTGATGTGATGCAGAAAGCTATAAGAAAAAAACCCAGATTATTTAAATTATCCTGTAAATACAAGGTGCAGGAAACCCTTGGCTGTTCTGCCACAAACTGCATACTTCCCTATGAGAACAACTCCAAACTCTTGAGTCTGCGGACAAGGCAGTGCTCAGGACTCACCTTTGTGATAGGAGCTTCTATAGTCATTGAGTGGATCCTTGCCATAGAAGAGTACCGTCGAGTCTGTAAACTTGGAGCTGTCATTAAAGAGAGCACCATTTACATGCCACAGAGTGTAAATCAGATGACAGCATTTAGAGAGCGCAGGAGGCTGTCACTGGGGAACAGCACAACAGAGTCCAGCTCATCTCCCATTTTTCCTGTATATCCCCTCCTGCAAGTTCTTGCTTTACTCTTATTTCTTGCACTTTTGTCTACCTACTTTGACACCACCCCTCAGCTGCTGTTTTCCATCCATCCCTCACTTCAGCTATACTGAAATGCAGCTGAATTTGAGCAATATTGTACTTCATGCCCAGTACCTGCCACTCTCCCTTTGTTTGCAATGAATCTGTCAGACACAGCTCATCCTGTGAGAGTATGGGTGTGTATGTCTCAGTGATACAACTGCTCTAATGAAACCTGTTCCTGCTCCCCATAAGCTGTGTTTCTCTCATTACCTACGAGGGCAGGAAGAAATCTCTGCCACCACTGTCCCAGCACCAGTAAGCAGTCACAAATGGGATCAGGAGCAGAAGTACTGCTCCCAAGTAACCAACAGCAATAGGTCCCTTCATGTCCCACACTAATGAAACTGAAATACTGGTTTGGGACCACAAGCTGCAGATTTCTAACAGAGCTGGAACTAACACTTCACCATGCACTCTTTTAGCAGGCTGCCCCCATCCCACAGCACAGCCACTACTCCTCTTTGTGAAAGCACTGCACACTGCCATGCATTGTATGGTGATGCTGATACTTGTGCTGGGGCAGTTCTGCAAATCAGAATAAAGAAATTTTACAGCAGTTATAAAAAGATGGAGTAATCTCTGGTTTAATCTGTTGTGAGCCTGTCTTTCATTCTGCATTTTTATTGCCTAGGGCAAGTCTGTTCTTTATTTATAACATTCTTGACAGTTTACTTTCTTACCATCACTACTTTGAGATGTTATTGACTTAACATCAGTTGAGTCTTTCCTTCTGTTCTTGCATTTTAAAGAATGGGGTTCTGTAAATACAAAACAGAAAACTAAAAATGCATCAAGTAAGGCCTCTACAGAGTTGACTTCATCTAAAATTCAGAACATTTAATTAAATGATCTTAACAATACTACATAAGTGGGGAAAATATTGTAATCTCTGCACATCAGAACAATGGACTCAGTGTCTCTCAATTTAGAGCAACTTGTCTAAAGTCACCTGGAAATCTGTTTTGGAATGAAACCAAGATGCCTTATAGAAAAGTGGAGTTGTCTCACCTAAATTTAGCTGCCTAAAAGCAGCAGTCTTTCAGGCTCTCTTTGTCTAAGGTAGTTGTTAGAGACCCTGCTTTAGGAGAGGTGTCTCAGGCTGGTGGGTTGAATTCCTCCTGCAACTCCCTTTTGCTGTTCCCTGAGCACTGAACAAGTCTAACTGCTTAGAAATTTAGCTGTGAGAAAAATCCCATCTCAGTCTACACTCTTCCAGCCCAAGAATAATTCAGACTCAGACAGCTTTTGCTTTTAATTGCAATAATTGATTGTACCCTGTGTTTAAGTAAAATCCAACACGCTGAGAATTATTATAAACAATCAATTCAGTTGCTCTGAAAATGAACCATGCACCAAGCTGTCATTCTTGAAACTGTCATTTACTAAAGCAAGAGAAATTATCACATCCAAACAAAAGCAACAGCTAGATGAAATGCCTGGAAAGAGCCAAAAAAAAAAATAAATTTCATTTTCCTCCAAAACACTACAGTCCGCATTCTCCCTTATGTTTAAAAACAGCAACTGAGCATCTATGCACCTCTTTGCAAAAGTCTCTATAGTACCTATTCCCAGAGTATCTGAAATGCCACTCAAAGATCAGAGACCCAGGCAAGCTTTCAAAAGGAGATAACCACCATGTGAAGAATCAGAAATATCATAAAATTGATGTTCCCAACATAAGGACAGATTTGCATAACAGCGTTATAAGACAATATATATACAGCCTGTCTTTAGCAAAATAAAATGTTAGTATACAATTATACAGGATTAAACACATATCCATCTTAAAAATTACTGAAATAAAGTTTTTGTCTAGTTATTTTCTTTACTCCAGATTTACAAGACAGCTTGAGTCTCTTTATTTTGTTGTAGTCCAGACTGGAGACTGAAAACATTTTCCTCTGTTGACAGTTAAAATTGGGGAATAACTATTGCATGTTAAATTGGTTTTATTTATTTGATAGGACTCTGTTTCAAACTCCTTTTCTGCATTAACATTTGGAGGAGTTTAACATAAGGCGTTTGAGTGGGAGCAAACATTTACACACACACATTGCTGTGGCGGTAGCAGACAAGATAACTTTCTTTGTGTTAAATACTGACTAGCAAGTTGGGAACTTTGCTAAAGCCACCTAAAGAGTTACAGGTGCATAAAAGCTACTTTGTGCCATGTTACAACTTCAGCTGAAAATTTTTTAATGACTAAATAAAAAGTTTTCCTTATCTGAGGAGTGGAATGTCTCCCCATCCATATGTGTTACTTTCACTGCACCACAGTCATCAACACGGCTTCCTGGGATGTTATTTCCCAGTTTTGCTGAAATTTATGACAATAATGAGCAAACCTAAACGCCCCATATAATCTGTAAAACACATTAGTGAGCTGGTAACTATTGTTAAGTAGCAACAAGCATTCTTCAGCTTAAGTCACAGACTTTCTCACCTTCCCCTGTTTTCAGGAAAGAAACTGAGAAAGAAAAACTACATTTATTATGGAGACACAGGAGCAAACAGCTTAACACTTGATGGATCAGTTCTGATGGCAGCAATGGGAATGAGAGCAGCAAATTGCATATATTAACTCTTCTCCTCCCTGCCCATTATCATCTGACATGACAAACCTCTCCAATGCTTGTACACAGTCTTAAACTTGAAAAAGTAGGGGATATCAAGCAGTCACTTCCCATGTTCTTGGTACATTATATCCTGCTCTCATGCGAAAATCAGAAGCTGCCTGACATTGCACTGCAATGCTGTCCAGTGTTTCATAAGCAGGAAGGGCTTCATTTGCCAGAAGGTAACAGAGTATGAGAACCTGTTCCCTCAGAGTAAGACAGCAGTGCTGCATCTGGATCGGATCACTAGAATCACAAGCTTAAAATTGCCCTTCAGTACCTCAAGGAAAATGGTTATTCCAAACAATAGACAACATTGGAAGAAGAGATTAGCCCCTTATACTCCACACCGTTAGTCAAAAGCTATCTGCAGAAGTTCCTGAGAGCCTGAATGTGCAGTCTGCAAGTAAGCAAACCTGCCCAAAACACAAGGCACGGACAGGTTGTGCAAACACACCGTAACAACTCAGTGCTGACTGGACATGACTAGGTCTAGCCTGGACACTACAGACAACTGTAGTGCTGTTCTGGGGTCAAACCAATGGCCTTCTGACAGGTCCTAAACTTGGAAACACTAGGGCAGATCTGCTGGCACAAATTAGCACAGTTCCACATTAATTTCAAACAAAGCGGTGCCAAGATATACCAGCTTTGGAATCAGATACAGTGTTTTAATACAATGAAAAGCAATTGCATCTAATTCTGAATGCACAGCAAGAGCTCTGCACAGGAGATTCAGTTATTAATGATGGTTAAAAATCCAATTCATGGTGCAACATCAAAGCAGCTGGCATCTGTCATTGGCCATCTGCTCTGACCACTGACTCAACAGAGGGAAGACATTAACATTTCATTTCAGCAAAACACCTGGCCATAACCTCAAGTACAGCAGTAAATAAAGGTAAATGGTAGTATTCTAACCTGACTGAGAATTGTCTTCTGTGTACTTCTCATCACAATGATTCTTGTCAAGCTGAAGACACATCAAGAGTAAAATATATATGTAAGGAAAAAGAATACAAAAAGATTTTAAAAGGGCTACATTCCACACTTCATTATCCAACATTTACTGCTCAGTTATCTTAAAAAAAAAGTGTTAGAAAAGACTCTTCTTTAGGTATAATTAGATGTAGAGAAATAACATGAAAGTAAACAGATATGCAATGAAAGAAATCACAGATACCATAGTGGTTTTATGTACAAAGTTGCTGTTTAATGCCTGTATTTGCAAGAGGACTGACATTCATTTTTAGATAGCATTTTGAATGCAAATTGCATATGAACCTGAAAGGTTCCAGGAATAAAACACACACACAAAATCCTAAAAATGTTCATTTTTTACCCTATGTACAGTAATTTCCAAACCATTTTCTTAGTACCATCTAAGCTAATTTTGCATGCATTCTTTCATGGGTCACTGATAAACTGGACTTCAAAAAACCCAGTGAGAAAAACAACTCTCCAGCAACTGAAGAGTAGAGGTAGGTATCATCCATCAGAACTTCCTTTATTTCCATGTAATTTTTAATCATTGCCATGAATGAAAAGGTTAAACCCAAAATCTAATTCTTCATGCTTCTGAAACATCTTGGGTAGCTCCACTGATACATATTTCAATCTCAGAATTTAAATAGGATATTTCCATCATCTTCATCTTGAAGTTTACACCTATTTATTGGTCTACAATACACAAACTAAATGCTCCTCTGCTTTTCCATCCTGCTCAGAAACAAAAGCACAGTCTGTCCAATACATGACTTTAATATCTGCTAATCACTTCATCCCATTCCTTTGTTACTTACTTACAAGAAAGCATTTTGCTGTTAATAAGAAAATTGAGCAGAACTTTCAGTTCCTCCTCTCTAAAATTAGCATGACACATTTAGGTATATAAAGACACTGAAAAAGACTAAAAATAACGCATTACATTTTTTTACTGTATTCACTAGAGAAGATGCACATACCCTCTACTTAAATGAATAAACTTCAGTGCTTGACATTGCACTTATACATTATTACACATTACATATCCTATTTAGGAGTCCAATACTTTCATTCAATCTATGGTTACTGGCTCCTCTTACCAAATTCATCACCTGCCTATAGCAAAACGCTAGATTGCATGGAAGCATGAAATCCATGGTTGCAACCTGTGAGTTAAAAGCAGAGTACAGCAAGGTTGCACTTTGGCACTCAGCATCCATATGATTTGTGACAGCACATGCTGCAGAGTCCTTACTGGGATTATTTAGGAAAGAAAGAAAAGAATGAAAATTCCCTTTTCCATCATTCTTGTACATCTTCCAACTTTTTTTTCCATTTTGGTACTGGAGGAGGAAGGGAAGATGGTGAAAGGGAAAGAGAAGAGACTAGAAAGAAAAAACCCCACCAAAATTCAAGAGCGGCTTCCTGCAATTAGTAAGAAAAAAGAAGGGGAAATCCTGTGCTCATGCTCCATATACATCTTGTTCAAGGGAATGTAAGGAACAATGCCTCATCCAGAAAGCTGATTCTAAAAGCTTAAACACCTTTCTTGTAAACATGCTGAAACTTTCAGAGAAATCATCTTGTCTGAACAGAGTAAGATCTAGGGAGCTCATCAGATATGGTACAGTGACATAAGGCCTTCTGGTCCAAAACTGGAGCTTCTTTCAGGGGCCATGGATATATCTCTGTCTACTGCACAACTGGCAGGAAACATTGGCACAGTCCTTTAAGCGCTCTACCAGAAAAATAAAACAAACCTCATTTAAGTTCTGAATACTTCTCTTACCCCTTCTGCAGGCGTGATCTGAGAGAGCCACGTAAGGTAAGTTATGAGGCCACTTACACAGTTAATCTTGGGCTGCTAAGTTCTTAAGAGGAGAAACACCACTTATGTTGTAAATTTATGAATGTGCAAACATGGGACTCTATACTGCCAGGTCTCAAATTGACAAAGGCAGCATTAATCATTACCTAGGCTTCAGCACATGGGAACAGTCACATGAAAGTCAATCCCCATTCATAAATCTTCACTGTGAGAACAGATAATACACTCTCAGACGTATTCTTTTTTTCTGTGCATAAATCTAACATGCTTAATTTTTGTATGTGATAAATCTGGCACATGAAGGCCAGAAATCCATGAAGGCTTCTACACAGCAATCTCTAATCACAGTGTGCTATCCCTTACAGAGGCTGTCAGTAACAACAAAGAACATTCCTACATTTTTAACAGTTCATAATAATGTAAGGATGTTTCTAAGTGTATACAATGTCTGAATGCTGAGATTAAGCCATTTATAATCACATTATTGCAGTGAAACATTAGACATTTGCATCAAAATTTGAACCATGACAGCTTTTACTGCTCTGTAAATAAATATGTGTGGCTTGAAGAGAAACCTAGTATTTTATCAGGGCAGAGAAAATTTCTACTGCTGCAAGTATTCAGGCATGGATTTCAGGAAAAATGCTGTGTCCAAATGTTGATCAGGATTGATACCATCTTAGTATTGCTACAAAAGTAACTCTAAGAGGTCTCATGGATATAATATAGATATTCCTATATGTCACCATCACTGCTCTAAAATGAAAAAACCCAAATTCTTATACATCACCAGCACAGCTCTAAATTGACAAAAACCAAATACATACCCAAAACCCCCAAATTCGAAGAACCCTCCCCTAAAGAACATGGAAACATATGTTTCCCAAGCATGCTCAGTCTAAAATGTTGCCAGCTACTTCCTATGATCCCCACTTTCTATCTCATCCGTGCAGACCACAGGCTAAAGATATATTTTATTCCTTTGCTCACAAAAGTCCAAACTTCTTTACTCTACAGGCCATGTAATAGAGTATTTCTGAGGCAAAGCATGTGATACATTCGTTTCAAACACTTTCAGAGCGAGTGAACCATAAGCATATGACAAACAGCTACCCATGCCACCTGCTTTGTTGCAGGACCTGCTCACATGGATATATGCCTGGACTGCAGAGACAGCTGCTACTGCTGGATTACCTGGGTTATGATTTGGATTACAACTCTCCACAAAACGTGTTCTGATGAGCATGCAATGTGTTAGATCCAGCATGAAGGCTACACTTTATTTGAGAACGACACATTGGCAAACCTTGCGACAGCTGAGCATAGGCCATTATTAGATTTAAGTATACCAGATCAGACTGGCAAGAGTAGCTCTAGAAAAAAGCCCCTGAACTCCCTTTGGACTATGATCTATGTTGCTCCACAGTACCACGGATCAGCTTTCATATGCATGCTCCAGAGATTTAAAGCCTTTCTTTCTCTGCTCAGCAGTCCTACAAAATTACAACAGCCCATGAAAGTGCTGAAGTTTTCTTGCTTGCTCCAACGAGAGTTGAATCTCATTGACAATACAGATCACATCCTCTTGGAAAAACATAAAATTCTACACCAAAAAATATCAGTTTACTAAAAGCAATGAAAATGATGACATGAAAGAAATATGATACCTGTTTGTTGTTTTCATTGGTACAATGCAGCCTTTTGATGGACACAAAGTGTCTTATTTTCCTAGCAACAGGAATAATCGCCGTTACCATATCAAATAGTAAAGAGAGAAGTGAAGTGATAACATTGCAATTTTCTAAAGCACAGGTCTCAACACCCTCATGAAATAAGATACCAAACCCAACACCAAACAGATGTCTGGGTGACAAGTGCTCCTTCGGTGTCACAGCTGTGTTTCTGTCCCAGGACACCTGATCCTGTTGCTCCTGCAGGAATTCACCTGCACATCTGGAAGTAGAATTTGGCAAAGTGCCCATACTACACTGCAGGTGCATGCACATACAAGCACACACACAAATAAAGAGGATCACCCAGCTACTGATCCTTCCAGCTGACTGGGTAACAGTTCTGTTAATGTAGAATAACTTCTTAAAGAAATGCATGGTAGCATGAACCTAAACATCAGCTTGCTATTAATTATTATGACTGTACAATTCTTTTGGCCAGCATACGAAGACACCAAAGTGGACAAACATTAGCAAAGAACATGACTTCTCAACTTTGCTTATTCTTTCTACATTGTTTGAAGTCAGCAGTTATATAAGCACCCTGCTACTAATACATGGAGGTTCACATCAAACTTGATGGGGAAAACAGAGAGAAGGCCCTAAAAACCAGAAAACAATCATGTTATGGACAATTTAGTTACCCTCCTTGACCAGTTACAGGTGTAATCTTCACATGTTGCTGGATACTGTCTCCTGATTTTCTTCTTGCATAGGAAACTCCTTGCCATTCCTAAGCAAATACACACAACAGAGACAGAATTTATGGATACACAGCTTGCAATTAAACATTCGCTTATTATTACATAGTAAAAAAAAAACATATTATTTAATGGTTTTATTTTTAAAATAATTCAAAATTTCTTAATATAAAGTAGCATATTTAACAGGCATTATCTAATGTAAGAACAGCATAAATATGTTTCTCTTGTGAGAGAGTACACAGAAGAACTGTAGGAACCATCCTCTTTGAGGGGTTACAAACATTCTTGCTAGGTACCACCTGTGGAGAATTACCAGGCTTGTTGGTGTAGGAATGCAGAAAGAATGCAGTGTGCTTGTCTTGTACTGATAAACACCCAACCTGACCGAGGACAAGAGCTGAGCAACTTCATTATCTGATCAAGGACAGGACTGATGTGAGGGTTTGCAGTCTATCACTCTGAAGTCCAGTAATTAGCAACTGAGTGATGTCTGGGGTGAAGCAGAGGCCTTAATGCCCAACGTTGCTTCAGCAAAGCCAGCAGAACAGCTGGGCCTCTGCACCGACCGCCTCTTACTCCCTTCTTGTGGTCAGTAATGTGACAAACCTTGCTAAGAGCCAATGCGCACACAATAAATGCGTTAGCCCCACTTTGCCAAGAGTATAAATCTTGGCAAGGGAGCAGCAGAATCAAACTCCGTGTTGAGCACCATTCAGCTTTGAAGTTGTCAGTCATCAAGTGATATGTATGATAAATTTCAGAAGCCCTTCACCTAAGGATGCTCTTCAACTAACCTCAGGTAACAAATAGCCTATTCTCACTCCATGACTGTTTTCTCATGACTGTGGATATCCAAAGCACTCTGGACACCAAGACACCAACGATGAAGAAACAGTTTCTTCATGGCATCTTTTATCCTGTTTTGCCATGCAAATGCCCATTCTCTGACTGGCCACTAATTTTCCCTTCATCCACATTGCTACAGGAAAGTATCAAGAGGACTCCAGGCTAACCAAGAGCCAGATATGCACCTTCATTAAGCAGTCCACTGATGCAGAGATAAAAAAATATCCTCTGGTATGGATTGGAGAAAAAAGGAAGATAAAGCAGGAGGCTTCTCTCTCCTTACCACCTCAAATAAGAGAGATTTTAGGAGGGAAACACTCAGCAGCAGAATAGGATGAAGTTGGAAAACGGGTGGAAGATACCTTCTCCATCACAAAGATGGGCAGATGCCCATCTGGGCCTTTGAGCAAGCAGTGCTAGCAACTGGACAGCCTCTATAAATGAGGAGGAGTAAAGCAATAGTAACCTACAAGTAGTGCTAATGAACCAAGATGAACCTGCACACAATTCCAGACAGTGATCACCAAAGCCCAGATCATTGCTCGTAAGTGACTCGAAGGGTCAAGAGCTCCACAAAGGTCATGAAGCAGAAGGTGAGACAGGGAAGGGTGAGAGGTACTTCTGCAACCCATGAGAGATGGGATAAGAGACTTTTATATGTATTAGGGGAACATATGGCCAGGAACATGTGGCAATTTTGTGTTCCATCACCACCATGACAGGAGTTCACAGTGCACTGGAGATATTCTAAATAGTCAAAACCCCAAATCCCACTGAGTGCTGATATATTTTGGTCATAATGGATTATGCTACATGATGCTAAAAGCATGTAGTCAATGAGGGATCTGTGGTTATAACAGAACAGTTTTAAACCTTTTGGTTGAATGATGCAGCCACCTGAGAGACTGACTGAGGGACAATTTGTTGTATTCCAACTAATAAAACCTCCATGGGCTCTAAGCAAAATAGAAACACAGAAAATGTTCTTATATTGATTTTAAGCCAACAAATTGGTAGAGGAGTTCAGTCAGATCCTAAAAGCAAAGACAAAAGACAAGTCTCTTGTCTGAGACAGGGGGCTGTTGTGCTCCTAAGACATCTGAGGAGCAGAATTCTGGTCTTACCTGTGCACTCATGGAAACTGTACCTTGTGTTTTTAAACGTAGAGCATTAAAAATAAAGCAGAATAGAAATCTCAGTCAATTTTGCATAAGTTTATTTGCTTACCTTTCCTTTTTTAATAAATGTGTTGATAGTGTCTAGAAGATCTGCACAATTTTTATCACTTTTTGGTAGTTCAGTAAGTTCTTTGCCAATAAGCTCTCCCTTTTGATATCCCATCATCCGTTCAAAGGCTGGATTAACATACTGCCAAAACAAAAGTACTTCAGGATAAGATGAAAAAGAACATACTTAAAGGATAATTACTCACATATAACTATGAAAGTGATAAAAATTATACATCTAAATAATAACCACACAGCCCTACAGTTCAGTGTTTTTCATATAAAAATATTGTGTAATGTTGAAACATTTTGTTCAACTAAGGAGTTGAACACAGGTGGTGATATGTAAGCAGTTATCAGAAGGCAAAGAAACAGAACAGAACCCTTTACTGTACAGGTTATCTAGTTCTGATACAGACTTCATACTGGTTTTACCATAATCAACATTACCATCTAAATTATAAACATTATAAGCAACATTATCATCTAAATAAAGTTACTAAATGAGAAGTCTTAAAAACTCAGAGGGCGACAATGTGCAGCATCCAGAAATAAGGCAGATTATTGCACGTGGGCAACAAAACTAAAATACTGAAACAGAACAGAAAATATTGAGCAAAGATCTCTTCAGGGTTCCTCACCCCAAGTTCTACAAAATAGTTAAGGTTTTTTCCCCCCTACCTGAATGACATGATCTTCACTGGTTATTTCTATAGCTTCCTGACAACAGTCTAATGCTGTAAACACTGCATCACAAGCCCTGAAATTAACCAATGACTCACATTAGTTTTATTGTTAGAACATCTTGCTCACTACAAATACATTATTATATTACTTATTGGTGAATCACAAAGTAGCATGTTATTTGGATCAAACCATGTCACTATCTCCTTTATATATTTTTCTTCAGGAAATTCAGCTTTAGACACCCCTGTTGTTCACATGTTTTTATTGCAGAACACGTAGTAAAATTGCTCATGGGCACTGCAGCACCTTAACAGTATATTTCTTTCTCCAAACATGCTCTAGCAGGAACAATTAGCAGTCAGAATAACAAATGGCTTTTACATCACAGAATCACACAAAATCATTCAGGTTGGAAAAGACGCCTGGGATCATCGAGTCCAACCATCAGCCCTACTCTACAAAGTTTTCCCCTACACCATATCCCCCAACATCTCATCTAAACGATCCTTAAACACATCCAGGGATGGTGAATCCACCACCTCCCTGGGCAGCCTATTCCACTATCTGATCACTCTTTCTCTGAAAAGTTTTTTTCCTAATGTTCAGTCTAAACATCCGCTGTTGCAGTTTAAAGCCATTCCCCCTTGTTCTGTCACTAATAACCTGTGGACCAGCACCAACCTCTCCACAATGTCTTTTCAGGTAGTTGTAGAGAGTGATGAGGTCTCCCCTCAGCCTCCTCCTCCTCCTCACACTAAACAGTCCCAGCTCCGTCAATCACTCCTCACAGGATCTGTTCAGGTCCTTCACTAGCTTTGTTGCCCTCCTCTGCACTTGCTCCAGCAGCTCAAGATCTCTCTTGCATTTAGGTGCCCAAAACTGGACACAATACTCCAGGTGTGGCCTCACCAGTGCAGAGCACAGGGGGACTGTCACCTCCCTGTTTCTGCTGGTCACACTCTTTCTAATACAAGCCAGGATGCCGTTGGCTTTCTTGGCCACCCGGGCACACTGCTGGATCATGTTCAGTTGATTGTCAACAAGAACCCCCAGACCCTTCTCTTCCACACAGCTCCAGCCACACCTCCCCAAGCCTGTAGCCATGCAGGGGGTTGTTGTGGACCAAGTGCAGGACCTGGCACTTGGCCTTGTTGAAGCTCATCCCGTTAACATTGGCCACCAATCCAATCTATCCAAGTCTCTCTGCAGAACCTCCCTATCTTCATGCAGATTGACATTCCCGCTTATCTTGGTGTCACCTGCGAACTTACTGATGATACACTCCATGTCCTTATCAAGATCGTCAATAAAGATGTGGAACAGAAATGGTCCCAATACCGAGCCCTGAGGAACACCACTTGTGATCAGCTGCCAGCTGGATTTAGCTCCATTGACCATGACTCTCTGGGATCGTGCATCCAGCCAGCGCTCGATCCAGCAGACCATTCGCTCATCCAGGCCATTGGGCAGCCAGTTTTTCTATGAGAACTCTATGGGGAACTGTGTTGAATGCTTTACAAAAATCCAGGTTAGACTATATCCACAGCTTTTCCCTTGTCCAATAGTCGGGTCATCTTGTCATAGGAGATGATCAGGTTTGTCAGGCAGGACCTGACTTTCATAAACCCATACTGACTGGGCCTGATCCCCTGGTTGTCCATTATATGACTTTAAATGGCACCTGAAATGACCTTCTCTGGCACCGAGGTCAGACTGACAGGTCTATAATTTCCTGGATCCTCCTTTCTGCCTTTCTTGTAGATGGGTGTCACATTTGCCACCCTCCAGTCCAATAGGACCTCCTCAGTCAGCCATGACTTCAGGTAAATCATGGACAGTGGCTTGGCAAGCACATCTGCCAACTCCTTCAGCACCCCCGGGTGTAACCCATCCGCTCCCACAGACGTGTGTGCCTCCAAGTGATGCAGCAGGTCTCTGACCACCTCCTCTTCAACTGTGATGACCTCAACCTGCTCCCCCTCCCCATCTCCCAGCTCATGAGGCTGGGTGTGCAGGGAACAGCCTGTTCCACTGCTAGAGACCGAGGCAAAGTAGGCATTGAGCACCCCAGCCTTTTCCTCATCCTTAGTTACCATGTTTCCCTCTGCATCCAGTAAAGGAGGGAGATTTTCCCTAATCCTCCTTTTACTATTAACAAATTTATAGAAACATTTTATTATTATCCTTAGCAGCTGTAGCCAGGTTGAGCTCTAGCTGTGCTTTGGCTCTCCCTGCATACCTTCAACTACATCTTTATAGTGTTCATGAGAGACCTGACCCCTCTTCCAAAGGTCACAGATTCTCCTTCTGTTCCTGAGATCCAGCCAAAGGTCCCTGTTTAGACAGGCTGCTCTCCTTCCCCACCTGCTTGTTTTCTGGCACCTGGGAACAGCCTGCTCCTGTGCCTTTCAGACTTCTCTCTTGAAGTATGTCCAGCCTTCCTGGTCTCCCATATCCTTCAGGGCAGCCTCCCAAGGGATTTTGTTAATCAGTCTTTTGAACAGGTCAAAGTTTGCCCCCCAGAAGTCCAAGGTAGCAGTTTTACTAACCCCTCTCTTTGTTTCTCCCAGGATCGAAAACTCAATCACCTATCACTGCACCCTAGATGACCTCCAACCTTTACCTCCCCCACAAGCTCTTCCCTGTTCACCAGAAGCAGCTCCAGGAGGGCTCCTTCCCTAGTCGGCTCACTCACCAGCTGTGTGAGGCAGTTATCCTCCACACACTCCAGGAACCTCCTGGACTGTTCCCTCTCTGCTGTGCTGTGATCCCAGCAGATACCTGGGAGGTTCAAGTCCCCCACAAGAACAACAGCAAGTGACCATGAGATTTCTCCCAATTGTTTGTAGAAAGCCTCCTCCACCTCACCGCTTTGGTTGGGGGGTCTATAGCAGACTCCCACGGCAAGATCTGTTTTATTGGCCCTTAACCTAATCCAAACACTCTCAACCCTGTCATCACTGTACTTGATTTCTGAGCTGTCATAGCATGCTCTAACATATAGGGCCACTTCACTGCCTCTCCTTCCCTGTCTGTCCCTCCTGAAGAGCTTGTGGCCACTGATTGCAGCACTCCAGTCATGTGAGGCATCCCACCAAGTTTCTGTGACAGCTGCTATGTCATAGTTCTCGTGCTGCATCATGGCCTCGAGCTCCCCCGGTTGCTGCTCATACTGCATGCATTGGTATAGATGCACTTGAGATGAGCTCATGAATCCAACACCTTTTTGTGAGTGTGGGCCCCATTCCCTACCAGACCCTTCTCAGGTGCTTCCATGACTTCTAAGCATCAATCCCTTCTCTCAAATGAAGTGGCAGAGGGAGAGCCCTCAGCAGCCCACCATCCTTCAAACCTTGGCATGCTTCCCTTGAGGTTATTGCTAACAGGCCTTGTTATCTCCCTCTTCCCCCTCATGTCTAGTTCAAAGCCCTGTCAATAAGCCCTGCTAACTCCTGCCCCAGCATCCTTTTCCTCCTCTGGGACACCTGCATCCCACCTGTCTCAGAATAGAAAGTTTTGTGAACATTAAAGACAGGGAACCCAAAAAACACCACAGCACATATATATGGAGTTTTCAATACATCAGATAGATTGGTACTGTCAAAGAAGTTGTAATACAACATAATTAATGGAAGAAATTTAAGCCATCTCAAAGTCCTAGTCAGAAAAATATCTATTTTCCTGCTTCCAAGTGGTTTGAATTCCATACATCCCGATCTTTACAAAGGGACAAAATTATCTTTGTTTCCCATTTTTTTTTCACAGCTATCCTTGAACCAATGAAGGAAAGCAAAAGCCTTATCTTCTTGCTACAAAATCTAAATTGCTTAAACCGTAATTTACATAGGATAGAATTAACACTAATATAGACTGATAATACTAGAAAAAGCCACAAAATTATATATAAATATATATACACACAGAGAAAAAGTGCATACTAAAAGAAACAACCCATGCATACTTGCTTTGATAGATGTCAGTACTTCATCCTTGATATGGACTAAGCACAAGCTCATTATCTTCTACTTACCCCTTGCTGCAAGAAGCATAAATGCACCATGTATAAACATTCCTGTATATGGTTGTTACCTAAAAGGAATATCTTGCTCCTAGACTGCATAGTGAGGTATGAATTAATATCAATGACTAGAGAAATAGGAAATACAGGACATCGCTAGTTCTGCTCATCATGGAAGTAACTCAAAAACAAATAGGATACACAAAGAAATATACAGAGAACCATAGACAAGCGGCCTCACAGATGAAAATGTATAGCAAAAAGTGTTGTATACAGAAGATGACAGCAGTGCTATAGCTCATACAATAAAAGGAGCTTCCAATGTCATTTTACAAGTGGTTTTCTAGCAGTCCAAGGCGGCTTCAAAGTGTGACTTTGTGCTGTGTGAAACAACTGATTTATCTCAGTGATAGATGCCCGTCTGTACGCCAGCTGCTAACACGTCATTACATAAACTTCATGCAAGAAAACACAGTTATGCTTGCACTATTCAAACCTTAGTATTTTCATTTGATCTGGCAACTAAGACAGTACAATTACAAGTTTAAATGGCCCACATTCTCTCTGATTGATACACACCTCCCAGAGATGTCCAATCAAGCTTCAAACCAGAAGAAGCTACGTGGAAAAGCAGAGTCCCTACTTAGACTGGAAAGACACTTCTGACTACTTACATGAATGCATACACTGCCTTCTTGGGCTGGTCCTACCTTTTCATCATGCTTCTCTTGTATCTGAACACCTGAAATATCCTGGGTTTAATTCCTTCAACTAACTTTCTGAAAATATTCTCTATTCCCTTTCACTTTTACAAAGCTGTATAGAAGACCTACTGAGACAGCAAACAGATCAGAGACCCAGTAGGATTGACATACAGTGCAAAACATTTTTTCCCACTTAAACTACACAGATGAAAACAAATTATATCCAAATAGCATTACAAAACACAAGTTCTGCTTAGTTTTTAATGGCAAATTCATTTAGAGCATCTGCCTAGTCAGGCAGAGGTAGGAAGAAATCCTCTGTTGAAAGACATCAGCTTCCCTAAGTTCCCAACTTCCCAAAGTTACAAATGCACCTTTTCAGAAAGTTTATCTTTTAAAAGGCTACTTTGTGCCCCCAGATGTTAGTACAAATGTTGCTTGTAAGCGTTACTTGTACTTGTTACACCGCCAAGAGTATGTACCTATTTAGCTACCCTGTGCCTGCATCTATTAAAATCTTTAAACTGCTTAACTATTCTGGGACTGCATCTGGCAGTGGCAGTAGCAAACCCAAACCCACCAGGTTTCTTTTCATAGTGTTTTGCAATGTTGCCAAAGATTCCCAGTCCAGTCATGTTCAGAGGTGATGTAAATATATATATATATACACACACATAAATATATATAATGTGCATCATCAAAATACAAAACACACAATAATGCAGAGTACATTTTATATAAGGATGTTACTTACATAATTAAAATGAAGCATGCTTACAGTTTATGTAACTACATTAAGGAGACAAAGCAAGTGGAATTAGAAGTGGGTGGTATACTCCTGTTTCCAGAAACAATATGGATGAAAGAACTGTCAGTAGATGAAATGCTGCTGGGGACTGACATTGTTTCCTTCCAATTTTAATGAATTTTAAGATTTTTTTGGTGATTACTATAAATAAACTTGCAGAAAAATATGGTAGCCAGTATGAATCATGCTCCCTGTGTTGGAGTTTTAATTATCTGCACTCATAATTGATACTACTCATGTAAAGATGCTCAAACTGCATTTGAACCTTGTGCTTGAAATGAAACAAACTACAAGCATTGTGTGTATGAATGACAGCTTAATCTTTATAAATAAAACTGATGTTTCTGATCTATGCTGACTTAATTCAGAAGCCACTCATTTCATGTTGCATTTATAACTGAAGAACAAACCAAGCCAGGACCACCATAACACCTAATTAACTTCACAGATTTCACAGCTGTTTTATTTTTCTGCCCAGTTTTGGAATACACTTACGAAAAATTGTGAGCCCAAATTCAACTTTTTTCCCTGAAAATTTTAGTGTAATTGCATTTTGTATGCACCAACATGTAGTCACTTGAACACAAAATCATTTTGGGACAAGTTGGCAAAGAAAATCTTGGAAAAATCTACTTCTTAAACAGAAACACCCAAAACCTGCAGAGTGATAGCATTTTCTGTAGATGGAGCTGTAATTAATTTATGACACCCAGGGAACTACACCTTCTCTGCATGGCACTCAACTTCAAGGGCTTTTTTTTCCCATATAGTTGACCCGCAAACATATCTGCATGCATGTATAAGCACCTGTATTAAATACAAAATTAGTCACATTTAAAAAAAAAAAAAAAAAGTGGTAAGAGAATTAAAGTAATTACTGTGCTTCTGGTCTGCACAGTCTTGCCCAAGCAAGAAAATAAAAACTCAGGGTATGAGAAGCTCGATCAAGACTGCATTTCACTCAAGCTATCAGATAGTTATGTAAGTTTGCAGCTCATAAACCTTACACACAAGACTTCATTTTTAAAATGCTGCCCTTGCAAATAAACAAGCCAAAGTCTTTGGTCTGCAATATTTCTGCTAAAGGATCTTGCCCTGACTGTAATGCTGGAAGTAATGGCTGCTAGAACATTGGCAAATTCAGTATGGGTACCTCAGGACACACAGGACACAAGCAAACATCAGAATAAAGGGCATGTACTGAATTTAGCACTAAGGAAAGCTGTCATTTAAACCACCAGTGAATGAAGCATACACAAACCAAGCTTTATTAGGGTACCAGTTACTAAGGTACTTAAATATGTTCTTTGCAAAACAACAGAAGAAGAAATAAGAGTATAGTATATTAGTTAACAGACAGATGCAAAGCACGTATATGCATAGCTGGGAAGAAGGAGAAAGTAACCTGATACAATTATGTAGACCAAGCAGTTGATGTTTGCAGTTTCTTACACTTCTACATACCGTAATTTGAACTGAGATCGCACTTCCCCATGTTCTATTTGAACCAGTTCATTGTAACAAGCAGTTATGCTGCTATTCTCCATGAATTGCTGGAAGACAAATCAAGAGTGCATGAAATAGATTGGAAAACTTTTAAACTGTTACTTCTCTTCCTACATCTAAAACTCTAACCTTATAAAGAAAGCTGGCACAAGTCCAGCAAAGGGCCACAAAGGTGATTAAGCATCTCTCCTGTGAGGAAAGGCTGAGAGAGCTGGGACTGCTCAGTCTGGAGAAGGGAAGGCTCAAGGGGGGATCTCATCCGGGTACAGAAATATCTGAAGAGAGAGTATAAGAAGACAGAGCCAGCCTTTTTCTAGTGGGGCCCAGTGACAGGACCAGAGGCAATGGGCACAAATAGAAACACAGCATGTTCCCTCTGAACATCAGGAAAAGCTTTTTTTACTGTGAGGGTGACTGAGCACTGGCACAGGTTGCCCCAGGGAGGTTGTGGATTCTCCATCCTTGGAGATCTTCAGAAGTTGTGTGGGCATAGTCCTGGACAACCTGCCTGAGAAGGGAGGTTAAGCAAGATGACCTTCAGAGGTCCCTTCCAACCTCAACCATCCTGTGATTCGGTAGAAATAAGAAGCTTAGTTGTACCTTTTGTGTCCAGTAACCATCTTTTCCTGAGGAATGATTTTCTAAGTTCTTAAGACAACATGGCTATCTAAAGACAAAGCCAGTATAAATATATGCTAAAACCCCAACTGTGAATTTTCCCATTTGATTTTGGCAACCCAGTTACAAACAGGTAATCTAGAAAAACCTAAACACAGTCTCACACAAAATCAGTATTCCCTTGATGTTTCATTTTAAACATCTGCCCTTAATTCAGAATGGAAATGGAATGCCTTAGAGACATAAAACATACATGCTAGAAAAAGAAAAAAGAAATTATATTTGGCATTCCATTTGTTTTCAAGCAAATATTGCAGTTGAAGCTCAGAGGATAACTTTGCTCCATTAGTAATCTCACTAAGCTGTCACTGTGAATTCAGAAGTGCAGAAAAGTATATAAAGTAAGAAGCATGCTGAAAACTGTTAACAATCTTTTATATACTTCAGACAGGAAAGAATGTCCTCTCTGTTAGGGAAAGGTAGCAGGATGAAAGATCTTGTGCTTGGTCCTGCTGAAATCAGAAAAATTATGTTGACACAAAAGAATTAGATTCTCTGACCTCAGTTAAAAGTTTACTGCTCATTAGTAAACTTACGCTATGAAGAGCTAAATCACTTCTTTAAAAATACAGGCACCAACTCTAGTTTTCACAGAAAATACCCTCTGTTGTCACTAGTTCTCACAGCACAGCTGCATGAAGAGTCAAGAGGCAGCACTCAAACCTCTGAGGAACAAAGAGCTTTTAAGAATTCATTGCTTCTACCTTCTAAGAAAAATTGTGGTTTGGGGACCAATGGCTTAATCTCAAGTTACCAGCAAAATGTGAAAAAGTAAAATTAAAATAGCTGTTGACATGGGTCTGCTTCATTTCTTAAGATTAAGATCTTAAAATATTTCTGTAATTCTCACTTCACACACTAAATGAACACATGGGAAATCAATAGGCACAATTATCAAGTTGTCAAAAACAAAGGTGTTTCTGCATAACAAATTCCCTAGAAACAAAATTGTCTTCTACAGCACTGTAAGATTTAGATTTTCAGTTTCAGGGTCTTCTTTTAAATATTCAAATATGCTTGTGCTAAATTTAAAACAATAGAAAAACAAATTTATCAAGAATATATAAGTTAACAATGATGGCAACCTATTTTAGAAACTAAGCTTACTAGAACATACTAAAGGTCTTTATAAACTGAATTTTAAAGTGGTGCTATATAACAAAGTTTAACCACTGCTGTTTACCATCAAAAATCAATTACTATCTCAGCACAAACCTTTGGTTAAGAACCAAGAAGTGCTAAATCTGCTCTTAACTGTTGTTAACTGCAGATGTAAAAAAAAAATCTCTTTATTTAAGTTTATAGTACTAATGCCATTCATCACTGGCTCGCTCAAAGCTGAGAAATCAATTGAGATCAGGAAAAGGAAATGTTTCCTGCTTTTTTTGAATCTGTGCATCTAAATGCACAAGATGATCAAGATCTATTAAGTATCAAATATTAAAAGGCAGACATCAATACTTTCTTTTTAAAAAGTTTAGTATTTATGCAGTACATTTTGATTTAACTAACTTATACTCTTAAATTGCATTTTACTTCATTATAATTGGATTCCACTGTCATCCTGTACAGAACTTGACACAAGCTGCCAGAGTCCTCACCTAGAAGGAATGCATCATTCTTCTTGCTTAGCAAGTAGTGCTAGGTTTAATATTAAAGATTTTGCTGAAACCCAAAAAGTTTTAATAGTTACTGGTCAATGAAAATCAACATTTGTTCAAGAAAAGAAGTCCAAAATACAAGACAATATTGTAACTGAGTAACAGCAAATACTAAGGTCCCCTTTTTGCTAATATAAATCATAGTTAAAAATCAGTCAGTAAGCCAAATCAGTTATTTAAATTAGTCCATTCCAAGTAGTCCATCACTATTAGATTTATGAGGCTGAGAGGAAAAAAAAGTCAGCATAATAAATGTACTGCATTAACAACACCATTAATACACAAACACAAAAGATGTTACTGATATAGCGAAAAAAAATCAGGTTATAATAAAATAATATTTCTTGAGAAGGGAAAAGAAAAACCAAATAACTCAGCATAAAGAAAAATGCCAAAGGAATGCATAAAATGAACAGACTCCCAAAATCTCTCTCGTAAGATCTTTTAGTGACCGGAATGATCCAGATCTAGATAGTGATCAGTCATCACTGATTTAATTACAAGAAATGAAAGTGATTTCTGTAGGGCTACTTACAATATACACTATAAGTACACGTAAACATAGAAAGACATTAATTTATCGTTAAGTACACATGAAGGTAATAGAATATTTTAAAACTGATTACTCAGATATTCACTGCATGAAAAATATTTATGGTTATTTCCAAAAGTATCCCCCCCAAAAGATTAAAGGAGTTCTTTGGAATCTTTAGATTCAAACCTGATGTAAAATGCCTGGTTTTGTCTACAAAACTCTGTAAAAAGGTGACAAATGGTTTGGCTAGAAGCTCAGACTCTTTACTAGTCAAGTTGGAGATGCATTTAGAAGACAGCCACCATCAGAGTGATTACATTCAGTGTTTTGTCAAGGAAAGAGGAAAACGATGAGCAAAAATAGGACAAATGCTGATAAGATGAATAGTGATAATGGAAAATAAACCTACCAGAAAGGTTAGACTGTAAAAATAAAAATATGGACGAGAAACATAATTTTAACAGATAATATTTAAAAAAAAATATTTCATTTTGCTGCTGAGGAAGAGATTCCCTGCAAATACTCCTCTATTTGAAAAAGGGTATTTTTAAATCTGTGTGTGTGTGTGTGTGTGTGTGTGTGTGTGTGTGTGTGTGTGTGTGTGTGTGTGTGTGTGTGTGTGTGTGTGTGTGTGTGTGTGTGGTGTTTTTTGTATTAATGGATTTAGTTCCTACTGATCCCCATCCAAGCACAAGTCATTCCTATGTTCACCCCTCTGCAAAAATAGGATCTTTGACATCAGATGTGTTTAAAAGGCTTAAAAACAATTCCAGTAGGGAATTACTGTATTATGCTAGATTTCTGATAAATTCAGGATAGCTAGAGGGAATGGTTAGAGCAGCTGTCAGGTGCAAAAAGATTTCACTTTCCTAGGCAGACAGTGTGCCACTGAGATGTGTCTTAGAGTTGCGCAGTGTCTCCTCTGGCTCTACTCAGTACTACACCTACAGTTATAACCTATCCCACAAAACTGCCCTGCATTGTTTTTAAATGAAACACCAGAGTTGAGAAGAAATAAAAGACTTATATGAATTTTACCTTTTTTTTTTGAGAAAACTGCCGTAAGAAAGCACTGGCATTCTTCTGCTGACCTTTCTCCTGGCCTCAACTTCTCGAATTTTTGGAGCATCTAAGCCCTTCAGAAATGCTCTTGCCTTTAATGCTTTTGTCCCAACAATACACTTGCAGGAAAGGCAAGATCTATTACTTCTATTTGGAGATCTGTGAATGGTGACTCTGGTGCATGTTCTGCTTTGCGAAGAAAGTCAAGCTAAATACGAGTTATCTCAGATACTGAATTCAGCCTGAGCATATTAGCATGAGATTCTGCTTGGGTTAGTTCCCTTCTTTCTTGGATTTTCCTTACTACCATTAACTGTCTAACTATATATAGTTAATACTCCCCAATTATAGTGTCCACTGACGTGCTTCTACCACTTCAGTGATAGAACCATCCTTATAAATGGCTAACGTTAATATTACAGCTGATTCATATTATATTAACATAACATTAATATCTTTCCAAAGCCACTCACACAAAGGTTAGAAGAGGGTAAGCAACTGAACCTAATATTAAAGCTGAGAAATCCTGCCTTTCTGCTCTCTCCTATAAAGTTGCTTTGAGAAACAGTGCAAACAGTTACCTTCCCTTCTCCTACCTGTACAAGAAAGCCTCTAATGCTGTCCTGAGATGAATAGGTGCAGAACAACACAACAAACCTCAAGAAAAAAAAAAAAGTTCTTCTTTACATCAGGAGGAGCTGGACTATTTTAGTAATTCCTTTGAAAGAGTAATCCCAGCAGTATGAGGCACACCTGGGTGTCTAGTCAGCATGCTGCAATATGCAACACACATTAATCAGGGTCCCCATCACTGGTTTTTTGATGCAGACATAAACAAAACCCATCCACCTCCCACCTAGACCACAAGAAGTTAATCTCAGTATTCCTATTTATTCTGGAAGGATTAGCTAGATCACAGCTTCTCTTATTTCATATGCTTTTTAGATACACTGTTGAAAAGAAAAGAATACCCAATCAACTACCACTGGTTTCTTATCAATAAAACGTTGACAGAAGCAAATGTATAGTTTTCAATTTGAGGAAGTAGAAGTGTCTGTAATTTATGAAGCAATCATGTTACTGTATTAAATATGTAATTTATACTTACCCTATCAAAGCCTGCATTAAGAAGGGGAAGAACAGAAGTCTCTTCTTGGTCAGCAGATCTACAAAACAAAATCATAGAATCATTTAGGTTGGAAAAGACCTTTAAGATTATCGAGTTCAACTGTTAACCTAACAATGCCAAGTCCACCGCTAAATCATGTCCCTAAACGCCATGTCTACAAAAGTCTTTTAAATACCTCCAGGGATGATGACTCAACCACTTCCGTGGGCAGCCTGTTCCAATGCTTGATAACCCTTTCAGTGCAGAAAGTTTTCCTAATATCCAATCTAAACCTGCCCTGGTGCAACTTGAGTCTGTTTCTTCTTGTCCTATCACTTGTTTCTTGGCAGAAGAGACTGACCCCCATCTCACTACAACCTCCTTTCAGGGAGCTGTAGAGGGCGATGAGGTCTCCCCTCAGCCTCCTCTTCTCCAGACTAAACACCCCCAGTTCCCTCAGCCGCTCCCCGTACGACCTGTGCTCCAGACCCTGCACCAGCTCCGCTGCCCTTCTCTGGACACGCTCGAGTCATTCAATGTCCTTTTTGTAGTGAGGGGCCCAAAACTGAACACAGGAATCGAGGTGCGGCCTCACCAGCGCCGAGTACAGGGGTCAGATCCCTTCCCTGTCCCTGCTGGCCACGCTATTGCTGACACAAGCCAGGATGCCATTGGCCTTCTTGGCCACCTGGGCACACTGCTGGCTCCTGTTCAGCCGGCTGTCAATCAACACTCTGAAGTCCTTTTCTGCCGGCCAGCTTTCCAGCCACCCTTCCCCAAGCCTGTAAAGCTCTGTGGGGTTGTTGTGACCCATGTGCAGCACCCGGCACTCAGCCTTGTTGAACCTCATACAACTGGCACCAGCCCACTGATCCAGTCTGTCCAGATCCCTCTGTAGAGCCTTTCTACCCTCAAGCAGATCAACACTTCCATCTAACTTGGTGTCATCTGCAAACTTACTGAGGGTGCACTTGATCTTCTCCTCCAGATCATTGATAAAGATATTAAACAGAACTGGTAAGTTGTATGGTCACACAACATTTAAGAATTAGATGGTATCAAATTTGACATACTTACCTAAACATAATGATGCATAAAATACATACTCAAAATCATACTATTACAGAAGTTGATGCTATAGACTTCTTTTGTAGGTGTTTGCAGCTATTACTAAAACCTGATATTTATTCCTACAGCAGACCTGACAGGTACTTCACAGAAGTCCTGTACTCTTCACAGACATACAAGGGCATTGCAAAAAGAAAGCATGAAGAGGATAAAAGATATCCTATGATAACCTATGAGAAAGAATCTAAAAAAGTGTTATTAAGTAAAAGGTGAAGCAAGTTGTACAGTCTCACTCAGCAGCAAACTTAGTCTATTTTCTAACCTTGGCAGGAGTAGTCCTTCTGCCATGATATTTCCTAGTATTTTAATTGAGCTAAAAAATTAGTAAAATTAGGACAGATTCAGTAGTCTGCAGGGGTTTTAACAAAGACAGGAAATGTCTCTTTTTGATGGTATTTGATAAAAATCTGTTTAAGTGAGTAAGAATTCTGCCTGAATACGTGAGATATGAATTACTGAATAAGGATTTCAGGACAACATATTGGTGAGTTTAGTGCCAACACGTTTGAAATTTACTCCATTACTCAGTTCCCTAATAACCAGTGTATTATTTGATCTAGTTATTTCCTTTAGAAGGTAATACACAGCTTACCATTTTTTTCTTTTAAAAACCAGCACATAGCTTTGTAATTTTTCATAGGATACAAGCCATTACATTATGACCCTCTGAAGGTGGTAGGGATAGTATGACTCTGTATAAAAGCAAAGTTATCAAATACTTAAATAGGCCACATAACACTTCACTAATCCATTTCAGGCAAAATAATATTAAATTTACTCTGTACGGCTTGCTAGTAAGATACTTTCTGTTATTAGATAACTATTATACATAACCTTCCTACAGAGTAAAATGAAGATCTTTCACAAAACAGTAATACTTACATGCGTGGAACCACAGCAAGTATTACAGTGTGCTCTGATGGTTTTATGGCACGAATAGACCTGAGGAAACAATAATTTCTCAGTTACATCACATACATTCTCATTGTTACTCTGAGTATCTTTATAGAAAATATAAATGAAAACCAGGACTGGAAGACACCACTGAGGCTAGAAAATATCACACTGCCAAAACCTACCTATCCTCACTTACACAATCCATTTCCCTTTTGCTACCAGATTCCTCAGGTTTTTCTCACTGTAGTGAAAAGGCAAGAGCTTCAAAAGCACTGGGCATGAACAGCAGCTCTTCAAATCCATTCTTATAGCCTAACAAAGGTTTGCCCTGTTCACTTAGCTTATTTGGGGCAGACTGACCTGAATGCACGGACCAAGAAAGGTCAGTATATATAACGCATTTTCAATACCCATTATCTAATTCAAACAAGAATCTCCACAACCTTCTCTTATATTTACCACTGTCCTCGATATTGTAAAATTTTATTTGGAAGTGGGAATTGTTTTGGGGGCACGCACATAAGAAAAGAGAGTAAAGCAAACTATAATTTATGAAATACCGAATAAACAAAATTTTACCATTTCCTATACTATTGAGAAGTTGAAAAAAAGTATGACCAACTATCAGAATAACACTTCATTCACCTTTTACTCACTAAAGATAACCTTTTTGAAACATGTCACACTGTCCTGAATAGTCTTTACATTTATTTGTTGTGTTGATGGTAGTTCTTCTAAAAGGCCAAGTATTTAAAGTTTAAAATGCTCCTTGTCATAAACACGGCAAATTACAGCTCATAATGGACTGAGCAGCACACTATGGTGTATGGTACAAAATGTACACTTTAGCTAAAACACTGTATTTTAGCAAGGAGCCCCAATATTAACTGCTTGCAACATGACTGCCAAGACAGTCCTGTGGACTAGGAGACCGAGTTGAAATTCTGTGAAGAACTGACAGTGCCTGACCCGGTGGCTGCAGCAGTAATACAGAAAGAAGCAGGCACAGACAGTAGGGGATAGTTTCACACCACCTCTGGTTCATGCTCTGATAGAAGCCCATGACCTAAACAGACAATTCTACAGCTCAGCCTTGCCAAAAGCATATTTTTCTTACTGTATTCCTTCTACACACATATGTAAGCCTCCCAGTCTCAGTCCCCAAGCTTCCATTTTACTATTATTTTGGGAGTTAATTTTTTGTTGTGTTTTGGTGGGTTTTTTTCCCTTTTTTTTTTTTTTTTGTTTTTAAGCTTAGGAGCTTTGGTTTTGTACAATATTTTCTGAAGTTCAAGAGAAGCATAAGGTCCTTTAGGTTACCTGCAGATATCTTCTGCATCAAAATATCTGGAGTTCCTGTGATCTATAACAATTATTTCCTGGTGCTTATCAAGAAAACATTCAAGTGCTGACTCTGGAGTCCGGGCAACACTGCACCTGTATCCAGCTCTGTCACAAGCCCACCAGAAACCATCGCTTTGGTTGTCTTCTTTTGCAAAGATCAGCAAAACCTGTAAAACATGCAAAACAGTCTCTGCATGGTGCAAATCTTAACAAATACTTCCACTATATGAAATACTGCATCTACTTTGAAAGTGGGAAGATTGAACTGCAGACTGTAAAACAGTTGCTGCAGTAGCACAACTTTCTTAATAGATTGATTATTGATTACAATGAATAGTTAAGTGTGTAGGACTGATATTTAGGACCAAACCAGGTGGTAAGTCTCTTCTAACTCATGTTCAAATTCAATCAGCAGCCACCCAGCGCAGCTGGATAGGTGTCCAAACATCATTGCCACTCTCATTGGGCCATCTCAGCTACAAACACTTTTAATTGTAATGAACTGTCTGAAATCCAAGTGCCTTACGTTAGTTGTTTGTCACTGAAGAACAATAATTAACACAGTTTTATTCAATGTTTCTCCTCTGATGGACAATAAAATGGAGTTAAACCATATTCTTTCAAAACTGAAAAGAACAAGACAAGCAGATATGGACAGGGCTGGGTAGGAGAAAAAAAACCTGATTCAAACATCACAATTTTTACCCAATAAATTGTCCCTAATTATGTAAATATATGAGGTAGCATCAACAACTTAAGGAACTCCTCACACAAGATCAGGTTGGACGTGTGCTGAGCCACTGTTCTAAAAATCAGATTGATGCTGTAGGAAGTCTGTTTGCTGTCGCACAGACTCTAGGCTGAAAACAGCTGTATTTGTGTGTTTCTTGCATGAAAGAAATAGTGTCTTTAGGAGAGTAAAAAATCCTTGCCCTATAATATATATATTATCAGCATACAAATCACACAGCTAGGAAGTCATGTAAACATTCCCCTTCAAACTCTGCATATATTTATATAGCAACTTATCACTAACCATGCCACCCTGTGTGAGAGATGAAGAAGGTTAATTTAGTGCAAATATGCTAAGAAAAAAGAAAGACTTCAAAAAGTCAAAAGTCTATCCACAGCTATTCAAATTGCACAGAAAGGCAGCAGCCAGAGAATAATCTATGCATAAAGCAAAATCTTGTTCATTTCACAAATAAAAGTCATCCCCTTACATCACTGATACAACATGTCTGGGCAAAATTTTGCCCCAAATGCTCATAAGAAAGTTCAATAAACTTTCATCTGTGCTGCTCTATGCAGCTGTGGTGTTACCATGTGAAATTCAACACCATCAGTCTAGAAGCTAGAAAGGGTGATCATAACTCTCTCTTATCTTGAGCTGTCTGAATTGTTGAATTCTAAACAAAACCCAAATCAATTAATGTTACTGTGGTAGGACAATCAATCAAGGTTTTATTAAACAGTGCGAGAAAACTGTATGCTTAAAATTTCCATAAATATCAAGAGGTAACTTAAGAACTTTCAATTTATTAAATTGACTATTTTTAATTGCCGTTAACAAACAGATTTGGGTTATCTGACACTTAGCATCCAAGGTAACTATTTTCACTCTACCTAATCCCTGATCTTTTTCCAGCCATTGAAGTGTTGTAAAGCAGGGACATGGTTGAGCTGCAGACTTTGTCTGTGAATACACAGGTAAAGTCCCTACTCTGATCTTCTGTTTAGTTCCATCTGCTGTTAGTTTAATTTTGTTCCTAGTTTGATCAGTACAATATGGTCCAGAAAATTGGGGGTGGAGACCCACATTTGTTGATATCTTCCTTCTCTCCACATTTCCAGTTTGGAAATAAAGGATAGCAAAACGCTATCATTTACCAGCTGTAAAATAATGGATCTTAATTCAACCACCCGATGCCCCATTGGTAGGTAATTATCAGTGTGTGAATCCTTCTGAGAACACTTACCTTTAAAAAGTTTTAAAAAGTATTACTACCATGCTTTCTCATTAATATGTGTATGAAGATTAACATAAAGCATCAAAACATAATGTAACTAGAAGTATATTGTAAGACATGCTCTCAAGATAAAAATGTAATAATCCATATAAACAATACTGTCAAGGGAAAGCTTGAATTCAATCTGTGTTTCCTGGCAAAAACCCCATGTAGCTATTTTTTGGTGTATACTTTGTCAGTGTTACTGTAAACAGATCATTTTACTTCTGGTGTTATGTTTTAGGAGCTCTGTGGACTTCTCCTTTGCAGACCTTCACATTTTTTGGTAATGTATTGGAAATTCTGCCATCTTTCTAAGTATTTACTTTGTATAACTATTGCATGTGTTGTTCTTATTTTATCATACAAGTACAGGAAATGGACAGAGATTTGCTTTAAAGAGCTCAAAATAAAACAAAGGACACTATCTGACTACAGAAACATAGGGTACCAAAACTAAACTGAGAAAATTACAAACAACAATTTAAGAAGTAACAATGAAGTTACATAATTATTTTATGTTATTATATCCCAGCAAGAGAGTTTTAAGGTGGAAAACAATTAAGTTAGGGAGGAGCTCTTGTTACACTGAAAATTGGCAAGGGTGAAGAGTAAAACGCTGGGCATCATCATGCTTCATTTACAGCTCAACAGGCAAGATTGCCATCATTAGAACAGAAATGGGAGTCTGGTATCAATGCTGTGAAAGAGACGATGGCCAGTGAATGTCTTACGAGATGAGAAAACACAATATTTGAAGAGAGGACACATCCAAACCTTTATATCAGTTCTGGTAAACGCTTCTGCAAAAGGTAAGACAGCATTTTTATCTTCACTAAATGTTTATAAAGAACACCTTTCACCTGTGTTCTCTGGAGAAAAGTCTTTAACATGTACTTTTATCATGGTCATTTCTAAGGTCTCAGAACCAAACCATGCCTATTTACAAGCCTTAATACAAAATTGAGGCAGACGTGCAAGCTGCATGGTGTTTGGAGGGTCAGAGTTGGTAGATTTACTTTGGACTGTTCCCCTTGCCCCGCAATGCCAGCAGCACCTGGATCACTATCTAGTACAAACTGAACAAAATCTGTCCTCTAACACAACTGGTCATAAAGTTCAGGGAGGAATCTATTGAATGGTTTATGGCAGGTCACAGTCACAAGGTCACCTCTCAGACAGAAAATACAGGCCATTTCGAGGCTGGCACAGGTGTCTCATAACAGCATAAAACACACACCAGAATAAAAAGAACATAGCTAAGAAAAGTCTGGTGGCAATTATTTTAACAAACTAAATTGACTGATAGACAATTGTGAACATGATTAAGCACCCACAAATAGACATTTAAAATGTGATATTCAAGTAACTGTTTGCACTGCACAGAGGAACTTGTACCTCCATTGTCAAGATGGAATAAAAGATTAACACACAGTTTTTAAATGTGTGGTTGTGTGCAACACTTGCGAAATCAGCTGAGGTAATGTGGCTTGTTCCACAAACAAAGGAGGTGGGTTTACATAAAGTTTTCTACCTTTACTGTAAGTTAGTGTATCACAATGTCTTTACGGAAAACTAGTTAAAAGTTTTACTTAAGGTTTGCTTTCTGTTTTTACTTAAGGTCTTCTATGGTAGCACCACAGATTCTCACTTGTGTAACGTAGGGTCAAAATAACATCCACACCTGACATCAAGAAGAATGACAAACACTTTTAAATTAAAACAGAAAAAAAAACCCACTTTCCCTTCTTATATGAAAAATTTTCACTTGTAACAGCTAAAACTGGCACTATGATATTTTGGGAAATCAAATTTATACAAAGTAAAATCCTGACATAAGCTCTGAGAGTATTTGTTAAATAATCTGCTTGATCACCTTTGTGAAGATGATCACAGTCTGAAGAATATTTTTTTTGTTAAGAGTTCCACACTTCTATGCTGAAATTCCTTGCAGAACCAAAGCCTGGTCTACTGCTGAAGCCACTGTTCCACAGTTGTCTTACAATATAAACAGTTACATCAGATCAAGTCATTGTTAAGACTGAATGCTTAATACAGAAATAAAAATTTAAAGCTTCATGATGCATATACATATGACTTATTTTCATTGAGAATACCATTTCTTCCACATCTAGGTTTTTCCTCTCAGCCATATATTGAGGGGTGGGGGGTAAACAACTAGAAAGGTGACCGGTGACTAAATGTCTCTGTATTTTACAGAGTTAAGTGACACAAAAAGTTAATTCAGATGGATGCTGTATCACTAGAGCAATGTTAAAGACTAAGATTATTTAATTTCCTATCATCTGAGAGCTCTAACACCCACTATAAGCTAAAAAAATACTTGCCATCTATTTACTGCCTCAGGAACAAAACGTACAGAAACAGAAGCAAGTATGAGTGAGAGCTGTTGCTCCTTAAGCTGAAGTTCAACCTGTCTTGCTGGAAGTGCTGTGATTTCTTGGATTGGTGACCTGTAAAAGCACAGTTCTCTGTTCTGTTGTGCAAAACCCAGCAAAACTCGACAGGTACCTAAACTTTCTAAAGGACCTCTCTGCTTTGGTATATCAGAACTGAACAGCTTTTAACATCCAGAAAGGCAGCTCTTTCCGTTGCTAATGCACATACACACGCACATTCCTATTGATAGGACATATATAAGGAATGATCTGATGTTAATGGAAATCTAAGCACCTTGTTTACCAAGTCAATTTACTTGTAGATCTCTTCTCAAGCAATCAGATAAACCAAAACACCAATTACCCACCTCACAGTCCTTGCACAAGTAAAATGAAAACATTATACTTAACTATAGGGGTTGAACCTTAATTTCTTCACCCATTAACACTGAATCGACTGTATCAAGAAACTGAAACAACTTCTTACCTGAATTGGATCTTGTGTCAGTCTCATGGGCCCAATTTGTACTTCTGTGGTTGAAGCCTGCTAAAGAAGATTGATACAGATTATTTTTTTTTTCCCCAGTATGGTTCTTAACAAAATAGCTTTTTACATGCAAGAATGATAGAAAGATCAAACAGAACCATGAAACTTCTCAAAGGCAGGCAGACATATGACTAGCAGCCTTTAATTAGTTGCTTTGAAGTGTATCTTTTATGAACATGTCTTACCAAACTCCTAATTTCATTTGCCTCTAAGTTAAAAATGGTAGGGTTTTAAATAAAGAAACAAGAAACTGCATTTCTTTCCCCTCTTTCCCCAACAGAGTACCTTGACTACACAGAAGGACTTGTAATCTGTTTAAGACTACAGAAAACTTACTTTTTTCTGGCTCAAAATTTCCTTATCATCTGATTGCAATATAGAATTTGTATTAAAGATCTTGTGACATATATTCAATAATAATATTTTAATGGGTTTGGTTAGGAAACAAGCAACTTTTCAGACAAGGTAACTTGTTTGGATTGCAGATTTTAAATTGTTTTCCAGAATCACAGCCTTTAGTTTTCAGGAAAAAACACTGCTACAATGTGAGTCATGACATTTGCAGAAGACATGAGAGCACATCATGATTTAAAGCTACAGCAAGAAAGCCAGCAGATACTGTCTGTGATTTGTTACCATATTTCCTCTGAGTTCAACTAAACTACCTTAATACTTTTTGTGTCTTGATACATTTCAACACTCCTATACACTACTGATTTGTTTCACTTCAGATCATTAGCTACAGAAGGTTGTTAAGCAACTGAACAATACCTATGTCCTCCCACAGATGCATGTACGTAAGGAAAAGTGTCTTTGAACCCTTTAAATATTGTCACCTTCATGCATATGAAGGATTATTTGCAAGTTAATCTCCAAAAGGGCAGATTCTCTGCTTTCCTGGTACCAGTTACCCCAGACGCCAGGTGTAGGCAAGTTAAACCAACTGCTCTGCAATACATGTAATTTGAACAAAACCCTAATTGTTGGCAGATTCCCAGGTCTATTCCCTAACATACAGGAATCTTGGAGCTTTATTTCTGCAGCATTTTGCTCTGCAGTGCCCATTAGTTGGAGACTTTTGTCCACATATTATCTTCTTATATTTAGTATTTTTCAAAGGAACGTGTATAAATATTCAAAATGGATGAAGTTACCAGTATTCAACTTTCTTCCTTAAAGAATAAAATACCATGTTAAGTATTAACAGCCTTGCCTGCATGTGAGACGGTGGTATTATGTATAGCTACAACTGACACATTGGATTTTCATGCACCACTGAGCATCGATTCTTCTCAGCCCAACAATGTATGTCAGAAGGTGGTAACAGGCAGTACTCCAAAAGATTAAACTACAAAGCCTGCCACAGTTTTCCAAAACAAAAACTGCCCCCAATATAAGTGTAGTTAACCTCTCTTTTTCTTACACAAAAGATTCACTTGCAACTTGATCTCCTGCCATATCAGCATGTAACTTAATGTAAGTAAATTTATCAGAATAGAAATGAAGTTAGAATCCACCACCAACCATAAGTTATGAGTAAGGTTAGAGAAACAGTTCTCTGAAAGCTCCCAACCCCTCTTCTCCCTCACCAAAAAGGAGAAACAGCATATTCATACTGCAATGGTATTACATCGGAAATCCTTAAATACATTTTCTATCATGATATAATTTGATTTTTTTTAAAAAATAAAGAAATAATTTTTAAAGTAGTCTCACTGGAGGAATCTGTAAGAGTACATAAAAGACTTGGGTCAGTATCAGTGTAAAAGCTTCTTTTTTTACAACGCACAGCTTTGACTGTCCCTGAATGTATTGATCAAGTGCCTGGGATCCTTCACAAAAGACAGTTGGAACACAGGTATTTGTTTTATTATCCATTTATTAATGCTACTAGGGAACTGACATTGTAAAAGAATGCCTTCCACTCTTCTACCACTTCAGAGAACATCCAGCTTTAATTACTCTGTTTTGTCCAAGATGGAATAACTGTGTCTGAGACATATATCGATGCAGGCAACTTTATCAATCCTTTGACAAAGATTCCTTTACAAGGTAGCCACTTCTCGTAGCCTGGGAATTTTAAAACAACATCAAAAAACTCACACAACCTGTGAGTCAGGGTTTCTCTCCCTGCTGCCTCTGTGTCACCCTCATGAATAGAAGGACCTAAAAATCAGGGTGTCTCTTTCTCTCTTCCCCCCTTCCAGTTTCAGGGTGTTCTTGCCTTTGCTAACAGTAGGAAAGGTTCATGAGGCTTAGATAATCTGCCAGCCCCGATGTAGGTGAATTTGCCCCCATCCCATGCAGACATGATATGATCAGAACCACACATGGATACAGAAAAGGTGCTGCTATCTTTGAAAAATTGCCACATATAACCTTTATGTCCCTAAACTGCTCAACTTCATTACTTAAACAGTGCAGTAAAACAGATGGGATCCTCAAATTAAGACTGGTAATGAACTTGAGCATAGGAAGGATTAATAAACCTTCTCATCAGATACAGCAATAACTATGTCTGAAATCCTCCCTGGATTTGGAGTTCTGAGTTCTGTTTTACAAGCCAGTCCCTTAGATTTATATGCCGAAATTGCTCTGGGTACAAAGAGACTGTCTCACTTTTCTCTTTCAAGACACTACTAGAGGAAGCAGCAAGAATAATGACATGAGTGCCTGGCCTTTGCAAATGTCCCAGATCTCTCCTTGGCCGAAGGGACTAATTTCACATCGAAGGAACTAATTCCACATCTTCCTAATTCCCAGAAGAGTCCGACCATATGGATGTCGCGTATTAGTGATACTATGACCATACCTCTGCTCATTTCCTGACTTAAGTGAATATCTCATTGCTGATGATTTCCAATTTAAATAAATCTCTTATTATTTGATTGACTGTCAGGAAAGACTGTTAATAGATCTGCCATCTAATTCAATTAGTACAGGAGCTCATGACAAACTTTTGTGGTAAAACATGTGGTTCCAAAGAGGTCAATCTATGGTTTCAGTGAGCAGAGGAACAGACACAGGGTTGGAAACAAAGAAATCATAAACCAACCATCTGGGAATAACAAAATCTTAAAAATAGTGAAGACATTTTTGGTTTAAGATTTTATACTGTCCATTATTATTTCCAGTAACATTCTAGCCTCCCAGGCCATCTCCACAGGAATCAGCTATCAATCAAAGAATTAAAAGACAAAGTCAATGGTACTTTCTTAATGCATATTTTTTTTATGTAAATCAGTGATCATCAATTACCTTACAATAATAGCAGTACCATTAAGCAAAATGTACTTACCATTTCATTAAAGTTCCAGCCTTTTAAACCACCAACAAAAATCTTTACACCCCAATATGCCTGCAGACTTACAGTCCCTGCAGTTTATGAATCATAATCAATTAGTAACACAGTCACTGTAAAAATAAAACACTAATTAGTACAGCAAGACCTTTTTGAATAATTCTTCATTGCTCCAGAACAACAATAGCAACTAGACTCAACCAAGCAGTGAAGCAAAGATATTGGTGAGTTCAGCCTCCTGGAAAGGCTCAGGATGGATGTGCCTGTTAAGAAGCATCACACAGACTCCAAGGTCTATGGACAACCTTTTGGTCTGAAAGCTCCTTCCCCCTACCTCCTGTATCTTCTTCCCCCTTTAGTCACTCCCATGCTGATGCAGTAGTATGTCTTCAGATCTCTATCCCTTTGGTTTCATAAGTGGGGCAGGTAACAGGATTCTCTTTTCAATACAGCTGCATTCCCTTGGCTCCATCTCCCCATCTTTGCTAGGCCTCATCTACATTTTTCTCAGCTCAGTCTTCCCCCTCTACACCACTGTTGAGGGCTGACACCTCATCCTATCCTTTGTCTATTACCATTTCCATATTCGATTATACCACTATTATCAACCTGAATTCCCTTCCCTTTTTTTCCTGGCCAGACTGCAGTCCTGAAAGAGACTGCAACCATGTGTGACCTCTACACTGGTCTTAGCCTTGCCTGACTTCCCTTATGAGACACAGGGCCCACCACTCTTCTCCAGCATCTCTGGCCTGGAGCTGGTGTCCTGCTCCTCTTCCTGTGACAACCCACCTGAGCAGGGTGTGTGAGTCTTCTTCCACTGTTCAGAAATGTTATACCTCTCTCTTCTTCCTCTTCTTTTATCTTGTCTTTCTTAGCAGAACTATATCCCAATCTTTCTCCTACTCGTTTACTTTTTTATCACTTCTCGTCCATTCAACTCCTATCCAGTGGCACTTTTCTATAGCTTAACACTGGGCCACTCTTTCCCTGTTTGGAGTCTCCCCATACTTCTTTGACCACTTAACTGTTACAAGGAATATCACTTGACCTGTCTAGTAATTTGTGTGTATCAAAGAAGGGACAGGTTTACCAGAAAAAAATGAAGATGTTTTTTCATAAAAGATGCCATCTCTGACTCAAGAAGCCCATAAATGATAAACTGGCAGAAGCTGGAGAATAAATGGGATAGATCCCTACATGCTCCTCCTGCTGGAGACTTGGTCCTGAGCTTGATGGATTTTGGCCTGACCTCCATGGCTGTTCCAGACACCTTCCTCACCCGATTCATTCGAATGCCTGCCTCTGTTCACACTCTCCACCCACCAGTACAGTTACTCTGGCAACTCTCTTTCAGGGAGCACTACTCTCTGCCACTTCTGTTGTCAAGTTCTGGTTTGTTTGTTGTTTTGTTTTTTAATTCTCCTCACTTGCTGTGGCTTCCAGATGACTTCTGCTTCTGCTTTCCCAGCCCTGCATTTCCCTGGCTCCCACTAGAGAGCTGCCAACCCGCTCTGCTCCGCACGCAGCTCACCCTCAGGCCAGCCCACTGCCACATTTCCAAGGAGTCCAGAGGAGCATTATAGAGTTGGACTGGCTGAACGCTAAGGTTAATGTAAGGTCATGTTGTTTTATTAACTGGAAGTTATGATCAAACATTGCACTTAGAAGAAATAGGGTTTCATCGTCATGATGT